GGCTTCGTGAACGCGTCCGCGACGTTGTCGTCACTGGGGCAGTAGATTATCTTGAAGGTACCATCCTTCACGTGGCCACGTACAAAGTGGTATCGCAGGTCTATGTGCTTGGTGCGCGATTGGAATTTTCCCGTTGAGACTAACGCTATAGCAGCTTGGTTGTCGCAGAAGACGGGTGTGGGGAGGTCTTGGACGTCGTAGAGCTCGCGGATGAGGAGTTGCAGGTAAAGTACTTCCCTTGCCACGCTGGTCAACGCTATGTACTCAGCTTCAGCCATTGACAGGGCTATGATAGGCTGTTTGCGCCCGCTCCACGAAACGGGGCCTCCATGGAGCAGTACGATGTACCCGCTCATGGAGTGCCTATGTGGCTGCGATGCCCAATCGGCATCGACGAACGCCTCGATTCCTCCCTCGCTGGATCCCAACGTCAGCTCATAATCTGTGGTGCCTTTCAGGTACCGCAGGGCGCGTTTGGTGGCCTCCCAATGGGGTCTCCCCGGATTCCTCATAAATTGCAACAGTGTTGCCACCGCAAAAGCGATATCCGGCCGGGTACTCGTAGCTGTGTACATTAACGAACCGATCGCGCGTTGATACGGTACGTCTCGCATAGCTTGGAGTTCGGCATGTGTTGCAGGGGACTGATCTATGGAAAGGACAGTACCTGATTCCATGGGCGTGTGCAGGACCTTCGCATCCTCCAGGTGGAACCTTTCGAGGATCATCTCGATGTATGCCTTTTGTGAAAGCGTCAAGGTGCGTGCTACGTGGTCCCTCGTCACCTTCAGCCCCAATAACCAGCTCAACTCCCCTAGGTCGCTAATCTCGAAGTGCGCGCGCAGCTCGGACTTAAACCGATGGATATGGGATATATGGTTGGCGGTGACAGCCATGTCGTCGACAGAGATGGTGATGACGACGTGTTCGCGCGAGGTGCGTTTGTAGAAAACGGCTTGATCTACTTTTGACCTGCTGAAGCCCATTTCATTGAAGGCTCCAGCTAGCTCCTGCGCCCACTCATATCCTGCTTGTTTGAGTCCAGGTAAGCTTCTTTTCAGCTTCAGTACCTTCCCTTCCTGACCATCCTTCAAGTATCCAGGGGGCGCTCGCATATATATGTCCTCCTGCAGACTCGCATAAAGGTACGCACTTTTAATATCGACTTGGTGTATTTCCCAGTCGCGCTGAGCAGCAATCGTTAGGACTGCACGTATTGTGCTCATATTGGCCGTGGGGGCGAAGGTTTCGAAGAAATCGACCCCGTACTTCTGGCGCTGCCCATTTGCAACTAGGCGCGCGCGAAGCTTCAGCTTCTTGCCGTCCGGCCCGCGCTTCGTGGCCAGGACGTAATGGCATGGGATAAGGTTTACGCCTCGAGGTGCGTCTACGATTTCCCACGTACCTAGCTTCTCGAGTTGACTGACTTCGTAATTGATGGCTTCTTGCCACTCTGCAGCGTCTGGGCCCTTCAAGGCTTGTTGGAGGGTCGGTTCTGGTTGGACGGCGGCCAATGCTAGGTGAATATGCGCCTCTTCATCCAAGAGGTCGAGTTCTGACGCTTCCAACAGGCTTTCCATGGTTAGGGCTGCCGTTTGGCCCTCATTCAGCGCCGCATAGTACCCTGGGGGTGGTCTTACCCTCGTCAACCTCGCTTCAGGAGTAGATGGTTGAGGTTGCTGAGGAGTAGATGGTTGAGGTTGCTGAGGAGTAGATGGTTGGGGTTGCTTAGGAGTAGATGGTTGAGGTTGCTGTGGCATGGTGATGGGCTGGACGCTACTAGGTGAGTTATTATTACCGTTGCCGCTGTTATGTTCGTTGACTACAGCAGACTCCCCCTCGTCCGGCATACCATCGGCTGCCAGGATCGGCGTGAAGGTCACATTCCTCTCCACCGAGACATGCCATCTGCCAGGCCAATACACCCGGTATCCTTTACTTTCAGCATCTACCCCCACAAAAACTGCCTCCTCCGCCCTCGCCTCCAGCTTACCAGCCTCCAGCATATGGACGAAGACCCTGGCCCCAAATTCATGGGCCTGCGACAAGTCCGGCTTGGACTTGCGCACCAACTCGTAGGGCGTGCTGCCTGGGATCGCCCTTGAAGGTAGGCGATTCTTGAGCCAAGTGGCGTAACTAACGGCCTCGGCCCACAGGTACTTTGGCATATCTCTGCCTAGGAGCATTGCTCTCGCATGCTCGACGAGTGTCCGGTTGAGTCGTTCGGCGACACCATTCTGTTGGGGTGAGTCGTGCACTGTTAGCTGCCGCTCTATACCTTGCTGACGCAAGTATTGATCGAACTCGGCGCTCAGATACTCTCCTCCTCTGTCCGAACGGATTTTGCGCACGCGCACACCTGGTGATTGACGGGCCACCCATGCCTCATAGGACTTGAACGCAGTAAGTGCGTCACTCTTTTGTTTGAGGAACTCGAGTCGCGTCTGCCGGCTAAAGTCGTCCGTGAAACTGACATAATATTTACAGCCTCCCAAACTCGTCGTCTGCGCCGGTCCCCAGAGGTCCATATGGACTAGTTCTCCGTATGTAAGTGCGCGCATCTTTGTTTCTCTTGGGAAGGACTGCTGAGCTGACTTAGCTTTCACGCAGACTTCACAGAACTGGATGGCGGGCGCCGGATCTATGTCTATGCCCAGGATTAGGCCCTTCTTGACTGCGTCAAGAAGGGCCGCATGTGATACATGCCCTAGGGCACGATGGACATCATTGATGGTAAGCTTTGTCCTGGCGATGTTGGCACGATGCTTACGGTCGGACGTTACAGCGTAAAGTCCCTGGACTTGGGGTATTTCTGCGATCGTCCTTCGTTCGGGGGGAGCAGACAGTATCCTGCACATTCCTCCTTCGAACAGCACGGCCAAACCAGCGGAGGCGATCCTATTGGTGGAGATAAGGGTAAATGCCATGGAGGGGGCATATAGGACGTCTTTTAGCGTCACAGTCGTTCGTTTCGAGCCCAACGGTAAGTCCATCCTCACGTCTCCTCGTCCTGTCGCATTGACAGTAGCTCCATTCGCAGTGTATATCTTCTGTGGGGCGATCTCGACGAAGGATACGAATTTTGCCCTATCCGGGCAGAAATGAGAGGTCGCGCTGGAGTCTACTATTGCTCCTCGGCGCTCTGGAGGTACATCCATCGATTTTGCTATGACTGCAAGGTCTGACGTAGCAAAAGCGTAGTTGTCCTTTGGCTCCAGCTCTTTGGCTACATTGGCACTTTGTTTTTGGGTGCGTCCTCCTTGTCTCTGCCGTTGATTCGGCCCCTGACCTTCTTTTCCTCCACCTTTTCGCCAACAGTCACTCTTCCAGTGGCCCTTACGATTGCAGTTCGTACAGACTGCGTCGGGGTTGGATTTTGGAGCCGAGCTCTGCGAGCTCGTGCTCCTCCCTGTGTTTGTTCTCGCGGAGAGCGCACTGTTGGTCCCGCGTTTGTTGGGACGTCGTTCGGTGAGTAACCGGTGCTCGTATTCCTCTGTGATGATGGTGATAAGTTCGTAGGGCGAGAGGGGAGTTTTTGTTATCTTGGCCGCTGCGTTCATCGACGACAGTAGCGGCCGGTAGGATTCAGGTAAGGACCCTAGGATGATGGCATGAAAGTCCGTATCGACGACGGCTACCCCCATTCCAGCTAACGACTCCCTCAGGCACAAAAGCTCTGAAAAATGAGCCTTGACGTCACCACCTTCTTCGCACCTCGTCTCCTGGAGCCTCCGTCTCAGATCTATCTGGACGAGTTCGGTTTTGCCTTCATGTATGTGGCATATTTCCTTCCAGATTTCGGACGCGGATGCTAACTTTTGGACGCGTAACAGCAGCCGATCTGTGATCGTGCAAAATATTTGCTGTTTTACGAGTGAGTTCTTTTGTTGATACTCATCAGTCTTTGCGTCGAGCTCATTGATTTCTTTCTGCGTAGGTGTTGTACCATCCGGCTTCATAACGGCCCCGTAGAGCTCTTTACGAAAGGCGTAGGCTCTTTAGCTCGTCCATCGGTATATCTCGTAAGTCCTCGTGCACCTATAGCCGTTAACGTCCTTTCCTTGTAGGTTATCCAGTTCGAGCCGTCTTCGGCGAGCTTCGGGATGTTAAAAAGGTTTGAATTGGTGCTGGGAGTCGACGAGTCCATGGAGGAGTCAGGGCTCATAACCTGTGGAGGAACGATACATGCGGGAGGTTTTACGACACGCTAGAACAAAGGTACGAGTCTCAGTATTCGTTTCGAATCTCTATTAACAATTGTTTGTACCTAGAACAAAGGTACAACTAGATGTACGTCAGCGCTTGCGCTCGAACGTTACAGTGGGACTTGTACTTACGTCTCAGTATTCGTTTTGAATCTGAGACGTTTCGACGAAAAACAGTGTCCTCTTATACGGTGAGTCTGCCAGCAATAGCTTTGATGAAAAATATATACTTAAAGAATGAAAAGATTGCCGACGTTGACACGTCGTCGACATTCTCCGTTTGGAGACGCTCGCACTCGATGTGCTCTATTCTTTGGCCGTATCGTCCTTTTCTTTCTCGGCTCTCTCTCTCTCGGCCTTACTTCCCTCGGACACATCGGCTCTCAACAGATGGGATCTTCTCGTCGGTTCAGATCACATGGTGATAGAGTTACAGTGTGCAAATATATATCCAATGGCATTAAGGGAGTCCTCCCTTCGCGAATTTTTCCTATGCAAGAATTTGACAATCGAAGTAGGGTCCATTCCTCGAGAACGGAGCAAGACGAGAGCCTGTCCTGTGTGTGATATGGCATGTAACACCTCCTTACCGCCTTGAGCTACTTATAAGCTATATTGCAGGGTTTGGCTTTCCAGGCGTCTTTTCGTTCTCCCACTACTCCGCTCCGAGTCGTTATCTTTGCAATGTCAATTGCTCTGGACCATGGAGCATTGCTCATCGGTGATATGCTGGGCTTCGGGCGCGTGATCCGTGATGCAAAAATATGATAACTATCTGATGTAACTCCTCACAGCTTGTCGGGTTGCGTTAACATGCAATTCATCGTGTACTGTCGGGTGTATTTTCACGAGAGTTGGCGTACTAAGTCATTGGTACAGAACTTTGTCTTTCAAGTTTGCATGTTTTGATCATCTTACGCAGGTCATTGTAATATGGTACGTTCGAGTGTGCTGTTGTATGTGAGACGAATGCCAGCGGAAGTCAGGCTGTTTGATTTATGCCATTCCGCACTTGTGGCAAGCGCCGTCTGGGATTCCATCATTGCGAGTGATAGTGGCTTGGATACCCTTGACACAATCCCTTGGTATATGTGATACCATCATTCACAATCAGTCGGAAAATTAATGCACCATCAGGAGTATTGGTGTGAGGAATCGCGTTTTGGATATGTTGGACTGTCGTTGATGCATCCTCGTACAGCCTGCGATTGAGCTTACTGTGCGTTTTCACTCGTATGGAACTGCACAATGCTTACTACTGGAATATCCATCAGGCTATGATCACCTTCATCGTCCAAAGGTTGGCTATATCATACAAGGACAATATAATTTTGACTCACCCACTTCAGTTTGCGTACCGAATCTATAGACGTTCATGCTTCTCTTCCTTTATTTTCACACACTGATGTCGGTGGGTAGTGCAAAATAAGAAGTTCACTGTAGTGATTCCAATTGTATGTTTTGCATTCAAAAGTCTGCTATGTACTCAACGTGATGTTCTTTCAGGTTGTGCTCTCTCTCGTTCGTTTAGGTAGGTACACTTTAGTAAGTGGTGCAATAATGTAAACTCATTTTGATGTTTTCACTTCAGTCATGACTAGCAGTGAGTTATCAAACATTCACACTTGTGGTTCTTGCGATAACGCACATTCTTTAAACTTTTTCAGTCACAATGAGTGAAATGTGAGCAATGTTTGAAACATAATTGATAGCCACTGAAACTCGTTTTCTGCAGGCTCAGATTGCAATCATACAGTGCATTCTTTCAACGTGATTTCTCATCTGTGGTGTGCAGCTTCGTAGTGTTAAAACAGATAGGATTTTCTTGGATATTCACGATGGGACTCTCACTTTCGACACTCGTGGATATCATGATCACAACTTTTATGTGCTACTTCTTTCGCAGAACTTTACAGAGTAGGTTATCATATGAGCTTTCCCACTGTACAGCTGACATTTATTCGTCTCATAGCACTATCCGTATCATCGACGCCCTGACGTTCTGGACAATTCAGAATGGCTCAATGACAAGGTATGACATATGAACGTAGGTCACGAGCTATCTTCTGAAGCCACCTTGTAGTACTGCGACCATCGCGACATTGATTTGCGTGAACATCCGAGTCCGTGGTGTTCTTTTAAGTCTTGACTACTCAAATATCACAGTGGAAAGTTATGCCTCAGAACCTCATATTTCTAGGTATTCACTTCATTGTAGCAAAATGTAAGCTATTCATAATTCTCGTAATATCAAAATGTTCGACCAATAATCAGGCTGAGGAACTTGAACGATATTAATAAATAATCTGGTTTCCAAGCTCTATTGGTCAGACAACGCGGAAACAGTGAAGAAATGAGAGATCCAAAGTATGCTTCTAGCAAGAGAATAATCATGATCGTGATGTAAGTAAGAGGAAACTAAATATGTGGAACGAATGTGGTCCACGCCACTGTATCGTAAACGCCAGGGGGTAGCGATCGCAAGCTTGACACTAGAAGTACAATTAGTGTAACGCGTGCAGCGATATATATGAAAGCGGTGGTAACTACAGCAAATCTCACAGCCCAACTGTCATGGCGGGCACTGAACAATATGGCTCCGCCAAATGTCAGAAGAAGAGGTACCGATGCGGACACCATCACAATGGAAGCCACGCGCCATAGCACCTGATCTGTGTGCCACTGAAATAAATAATGCCAGCCCAGGCAATGCAGTCCTCCATATATAACGGCACAGAAGCATCCAAGGAAAAGTGTAATGACATGATTAGGATCATGACAATCATCATTATTATAGCCACCTAAAGACGGAATCCGACGTGCTCGGACAGCATAGGGAGAAATGGCCACAGCAGTGCCCATAAGACCCCTCAAGGGATAAATGAGAACGAGGAGATAATGATGCCAGCTATCCAAGGAGAATTCTGAATTTACTTTTCTAGAATGTGGGTGAATAAGAATGATCTCAGGGGAGAATATTGACCACGTACTCATAGGTGAATGACCGATCCTGAAGCGCCTCGGCTTTATTTTTGTTCCAATGGATAGGATAAGGGCGTCGTACATCCTTAGGCTTCTTCCACCACAGGCAACAGGCGATGCAGGACAGACAGACTACAGCCAGGGTGTCGATTTCGAGAAGGGTTACGGGAAGGTGCTGGATGTAACGGGCGACAAGCTGCAGGATGAACCACCCCAGCTGCAGAATGGCGACTCCCTTGGATAGTGCGTCGCCCTTACTTCGACCTTCTATGTCTGCCTCCACGATGTCAGGGATATCCACGTATTCCTCTTTAATGAGGTCTACGAGTTCCTTGGGAGTAAGAGCAACTCGTGGCTTGTTATCGCAGTAAAGCGTGAATCCACCCATCCATGCGAAAAACCCATGCACCGTTGTCCACTCTGAGACATCCATTGAACAAAGTTAGTTACCGCAGTCAAAGACTGAGCAAGCAACCGACCTCTGGGATTGCGACCTGCACCATGGGGAGCGCTTGAATGTGAACTGCTTTTTCCATCTGATTCTGTAAATTCGTCCAGTAATGTAGCTGTGCTCCTCCCTATATCTGGATCGTCGCCGCAGGCCGGGTAAAATTTCACATTGAACTCCTTAAAAGTGTCAAGGGCACTTAGAAACTGTATTGTGGCCCAGGTGACCATGAGTTCTGGGGCAATGAGTGCCAGAACCATGATGAATAGGCGACGAAAGAAGATAGTCATTCTTCCCTCATCCATACCCGGGATGTTTGGATGAATTGCGGTCCATGTGCATGCGAATAGAGTTGCAATGCAGCTCCAAATGATGTCCCACAAGGTCCTAGTGTGGCTGCTAGATGGTGAGCCGGTGACATCGAGTGTAGAGGTACTAGTACAATTGAGAGGAGGTAATGCACAAACAAATGGAATGCATAACAGTAAGAGGATAGAAGCGGAGGTGAAGGGTAGGAGGGCCATGGTAACTTAAGTTGAGAGCATAATTCTATTTATTCCGCTCCCCTCTTTAAAGGTATAGAATGTATGGCAAGTTGGAATGTCGCAGGCTCGTGTGTGTGGACATGTAGAGAGATCAGGGGCCGTAGAAGTGGCGCAAAAATGTGAGACATTGTTACTATGCATCATAAATCTCATCAGTGAACCGGTGAACTTGAAATGAGAATGATATTGAAAGTAATATGATGTTGAGCATCACAACAATCAGCATAAATTTGTCGACCGCTTTCATTTGGCATTGTGGAGGAACGTCCGATTTGCAAGCGCGCAGGCTGTTTACCTCAAGGACTCCTTCACCTGGATGGTTCTAAGAAACAACGTGCAAGCACGGGTTCATGCATTTCAAGATGGACCAAGTCTGAGAATGATCATCAAGGAAGGAGGTTGCAGTGTACGGAAATGAAAGACACTTGGGTGATGCTATGTCATCCTCTGAGTTAAACCGGTGTGTATATTGATAGTGCAGCACGAGTAGAGGTCCTGCGACGGACTGTTGTGTAATGAAAGCATTTCGCTGATTTGAATCGGCGGATGTACTTAGTGACCGTGAACAGGTTCAGGAACTGCTACAGTGGGCTTGTAGAATCAACTGGGATGCATTGATCTATGGCGCAGCACTGTTTGCACGCCAAGTTGCAGGCGGATAAGAAGCCACCTGGTCTTAAAACCGAGTCGTGTGAGATACTATCATGTAATGGAAGCTGCAGAAAACTCACGCTGTTCTTCCTCAAACAAGCGATCCCTGGCTAAATGAGTTGGCAGCCGCGTTTAACGTTCGAAGTTACTTCATATCATCCGAGTCGAGGCTCTGGATCGTAATTACAGACAGGACACAAGGAGAGCTTCACTGTTTGCTGGGTTCTGGAAGACTGGAGTATGGATCCGGCAATCGTCGGATTCCTCGCCCCTGCCTTGCCCCTTGCCTACTGACAAGAAGGCGATATTAATGTGAAGGGCCACACGGACTGACTAGCGCTGAGCACTAGGGTAGGTGCCGGCGCTGGTGCCAGCGGCGTAGTATTAGTACCGTAAGTAGTTGAAATTACATAATCTGAACCAAATTTGTTTTTCACTTACGGTCGGTGCCAGGTGGAGTATCACTGCAACTTGCAAAATGAACCTTCATGACTCAAAGGTGCACCGCTCGCCACGGACAGCTACAGACGCGCTAGATGAAGAACTATGAAGTGGCCGCGGTATATGTTGATGACCAGCGTTTCAATGCTTGAATGCCACAAGCAGAATGTCAGGTCGAATTCTGATCGTCCCGCTTCGGCACTGCTATGATCGATGTTTGCGTCACGAGAAGCTGGGTCACCGGTGGCGAAGTATAATGACAGTGATACATGTGGTTAAAGTTCAGGAAAGTAGGACTTTCATCTCGGTTGCTGAGCCACGAGGTCGACAAGGGTGAAGAATCTTTGTCATGATGTTCTGTCTGGACCACCACTAATTAGTTCTTCACCATAGCACGGCTACCCTCCACGCCATTTTCTATCTTTTAGGAGTTTGTTCTTCATACCTAGTCATCATCTGCACAGTCACAGCAGTTGTACCCTGATCCCTGCGTTAACTTGTCGCACTTCAGGAACGTCTAATTCGACGAAACATCTCATTGTTATCCACTCCTTCGAGCTTATTGAAATCAAAAAGTCCAGGATCGCAATAATATTGTGATCGTGAAACAGTGGTGCACGAGATGGTCCGGTGCGGCTCCTCATGAACATGGCGCTGGTGGTGTCACCGTAGTTCTCATACGGGTCGCGCGCCTGTGTGCCATGAAGATGATGGTGAGACTCAAAAGAAACGCATGTATGTGGATGACCGTCATTTGCTGACTATGCAACGCAAAACTGTCAAACCTCCGATGCCATTGATAGAACTAGCTTTCCTGACGTTTCAATCAGTCTTCGTAATTCGACCTAGAAGATCTTACCCTTCGCTAGTTCAGTTCGAAGTCCAACCCTATTCCACATTACCATAGCCACCCGGGCCCCATGGCTACTTTACGAAGCACGCACGCTGGTTAATTTTATATATCATTCCATACCTTGAAATGATATTACCTGCTCTCTGCCAACGTATCCTCATAATAGTTCAAGCGCGCATAAATCGAATATTTCAGTCCCTGATGGCGAGTGGTGGGTGATGTTGATATATTGTTGCGCCGTTCCACGATTATTGATGCCTCGTTTATGGCGTGGGTCGATCAGAAAGTCTGCGGTGGAAGTACAGTGCAGTGACGTCGGAGAAGAAGCTCTGTAGATGAAGGTTAGGGGCGTATTGGTGGCAATGTGGCATCATAGTATTGCAGGAAGTTCTTGAGGGGTATACAAGAGATCGATCTCAACGAAGACCTGCAGTCTGGTTGCAGCACAGCAGCTGATGAGCGCTCATGACCTCGATTGTAGATGGTGCTCACTCGTAGTCCCGACATTCAATATTCACAATCGAAGGTATCCATAGATACGCCGTGTTCCCTCATAGTATCGTGTCTGACACGAGCTAGTAAGCATTTATCGGTGCTGCAGCTGATTTTAATATCTCTACCACTGCTAAAAATTCCGTCGAAGGCGATGAGGTTGTGATTCCAGATTTAATGAAAATGACCTAGTCATGTTTATTGAACGCAGTTTTCGAAGGTGAGGAGCTGCCCACTGGTAATGACCATTGAGCCCTATGAGTACTAGTAGTATGTTCCATGAGTAGGAAATCGGCCGGTGATATGTGAGGAAAGCGAGATATGTCCTAGTATCTCTGCAAGTAAATAATGGACCCGATTGCAGCAGCGCTAGCTGCGCATTGTTGGATTGGTATAACAACGAACCGCATCACGCCTGTGATGTTTCTTGCGGTAAGCGAACAACTTAGATGGGAAAAAGAACACACCAAACTCATCCAGATCGCCTCCTTCCAATTTTTTCGGCGAGGGTTCTTTAGATCTAAAAAAGATGAACGGTCAACCCCAGTCACAAAGAAAAATAATGGGGGATGTCACACACCTCTCGACATCTAAATTCTCTGTCCCGGACTTGAAATCCATCTCGCTCGGTTTCACCAGGGGCACCCGCATCACAAATTTCGCAGATGCATACAATACCGAAAACAATACGATAGGCAAATAGGTCGTCACGAACGTCGTATGAGACCAATTCGCTTTCAAAAAGACTTGCCATCCGCTGAACTAAGATCATAGTCAAGTACCTAATGTCAGTGTGATAATCTGCATACTTACCAGGAGAGTTACCAGCGACGAAGCAATCACCCACCACGACGCATATGGCTGGAGTCTCGAGGCATATGGTAAACGTTTCCTGTCATACCCTTGTGCCAATAATCCCCGGTGGAACCTGACGTAGGTCACCCCAACACAAAACCACGTTAAGAGTCCTGCGGTGGCAGTCATGTCCGAAAACCAGGTAAAAACGATGCCGGAGCTGGTGTTCACTACCATGTATGACAAAAGGGAAAACATTGAGCAAAAAATGACGGCCACATATGGATGGCCTGAACGTGACGTGCGCAAGAAAAACTTGGGAGCATTCCCAGTAGCGGCAAGGCCATCTGTGAATTAATAATGAGAATGCGAAAATTCATGCATTTGTGCACGTACATAATCCCCTCGATGATAAATATAAGTCGCTTGAAGAGGCGGACCAAGCAGAAATTAGGATGACTGCGTTCAAAATCTGGATTGGGTCTTATAGAAGGGAGCCGCGACGAACATGGAAGGACATACTGAAGGCAGATATTTAATCCCAGCCTGATTGATAGCGATCACGAACGGGGATGACGAGGCGTTGGAAGAGTTAAGATTCAAAAGAGGGTTGTTGGAAGGGACAAGCAACCCGATGACGAAGATGCTCCCGACATAAAATAGGAAAATTCGGATGTATACTGTCCGTATCGCTCGCGGCATGGTGTATCGAGGGTTCTTCGCCTCTGCAGCTGCCATCTGAAAACGTAGTGATGATATATATTTCGTATTAATCTCAAAGAGAGAACATACAGTGACAACCTCGGTTCCAATGAAAGAAAAGGCAGCCTGGATGAGTACACGAACAAATCCTAGAAACTGCCCCTTAGCTCCAGCTATCCCATCGAACTGTACAAACGGTCCGGGATTCTTCCAGTACCGGAACCCAATACGATCATGACTTGGGCCACCTCCGAGGTCAAGCACAATACCAAGGATGAGGAGCCCTGTTATCGTGATGACTTTGATTGACCTGATCGACGATAAGTCTACACAGCCATCAAGGCAAAAAAAAACTGCTCACGCGAAAATAAATTACATTTCTCCGTAGGTTCCTGAAGATTATATCAACGTGTACAATTGACATTCATTGAAGCAAGGGACAAACCAACGCTGAAAAGATTGATTCCAACAGCAAATACCAGACACACGGTGATCTACACCTCAGTGGGTATCAATTTCCGAAAGATACCTCATTATCTCCGCGCAGTAGTTGCAGGTCACTGGCCTATGAATGGCCCAGGCGAATTCCAGGTGCTACATATAACGGAACAACCAGTAAGCGAAAAATGACGTGAGATATCCACCGAGTACATATCAGAGGTATCGGCGAGAATGATGCTAAATTCTTGACTTTGTCGTTGTATTGGCAGGGTCAGCGCAGGTTCAAATGATGAAGCGAAGGATGAGGTATTAGGACGAGAGACCGGCGAGTCGAGTAAGGGTTCTGTGGACACTCGATGCCTGCAGGCAGGCTATGAATTAACGAACGCTGTTAATTGAATACGCGCCCGTAGGTTCTGCCAAAATTTGTTCCGCGACAACAGTTCTGCCAAATCGATGAGAATGGTGCCCATGAGCATATGCAGGATATAAAAGCTGGTCGTCGTCCTACAGTGTTCCCTCATCCTCAAAGATATCATTCGAGATCCCCTTCAGAAGATTCCATATAACCTCGCACAGAAAATGCGTTTCTCCCTCCTCGCGGTTGTTGTTGCTTTGACAGCATCTATGTCTGTCAGTGCCAAACATGGATGTGCGTACAGGGGACAATTTTGCGATGGAACCGATTGCTGCAAAGGTTTATCTTGTAACTGGACTGCAGTAAGCAGGTCGCTGTGTAACAAGGATTCAACTGTATGACTCACGTGTGCCTCTTAGGGAGGAAATCCGGTCTGCCAATAGCCTGCTTGTAATTGATCGGGCAACCCGAGCGGCACATCACGACAGCGAGTCATGTTTCTGCTTTCGCTTTGTTATCATGGTTGATGGTGTAATACCTAGTTCAGAGCCAATCAGTACTGAGCACAGTATTACTAGTACGGTTGTTTTTGGAAAAATTTCGCACTGCTCGAGCAATATTATGTAACATTTGTGAATGCTATGATCTGAATGGTCGACCGCGTGCCCAGTCTTGTATCCCACATCAGATGAAGGATTGAGTTCGGTGACCTATGCATCGTCGAAGTCAACATGGGCTATGAAAACATAGATACTATCGCACCTTTCAAGTTTGCGCATCGAGAAGCGCATCCTCCCAAAGCTTTTTACCTAATTTGGCCATACTACGATTTGCAAAGACAGCATCGATTGGAGAAGTGAGGTCGATCGCAGTCGAGTATAAGTCAATAGCACTGTCAAAATCGTTTACAGCGAGAGCAGTATCTCCGTTGGTAAGAAAGATGGCGCCGCATTCTTGCTTGAAAGCTGAGTGATTATCTCTCACACACTTAAATTTGGCTAACACTCATCAGATCTTAATGAATTCATTATATGCCGGAGATTTGAAACGTCTACATCACATCACGTACTTCAAGGTCTCAGCACGTCAGAATGCGACTGGTTGATGCCTCCCGGTGAGGGTGCCCGGAAGCAGCATAGAGTATCCGTGACGTTTTCTCTCAAACGTCGTGAACTTCTTGAAGAATTTCTCTTCTGGTACTTCGACTCCTTCCTGCTTCCGCTTCTTAGAGTTCGTATTTTCTTCGACTAAGATGGAGACATCTTATTGACACAAACATTTCCAGACGACGTTCTACGTCACGGAGTCATCCGCATTGCGAAAGCACGTTCTTTACTTTCGGCAAGATGACTGGGAAATCCTCTGTGCACCTTTGATAGACCGACTAAGTGAAAAGACGTTCCAAGAGGTCGAGACTGATGACCCAGTCGATCCGTGATACGCGTGACAACGTAGACTCGTAACCAGTCTGGACTACGTCTTTGATATTGTTAAGTGTTTGACGTAGTCAGACTGGTCGATCTCGGAGAAACTTGGCAAGAGAAGCGAGGAGTTTGAAATTTCACACATGCCGGTGATGCCGGTGTAGGTAATCGTTGTGTCTGTACAGCGTTGACCTTGTTCGCACCGCTTCAGCAAAGTATTGTATGCCTTTCAAACATTATAGTCCATCGAGCAACAGTACTTAACATCTAATAGGACGATAGAATGATACCTTTTCATGCCTTTCACCTGCCCATGCCACAATATCAGCCACCTGTTGAGCCTTCGATTTGGACTGTCAATCCTTCAAGCCTCGACATTGACGAAAAAATCCTTGGAGTCCTAAAAATCCTTCGTGGGCTTCGCATGACAGTTATGGACCTCATGTTGCACTCTATCTCGCACAAGGCCTCCATGCTACCTTGGAGAGAAGCTTTTTTTCGAAGCAGGGCCCTTATCCAGTTTCTCAATGTGTTGGATGCTGACGAGCAAGCGAGTGAGCAACTTCATGTCATCTTACGACCAATTGCTATCAAGATAGCCACCGACGAGGTTGATGCTGAGATGGAGGCTGCTAAGGACATTTTTGGCATGTCATCGAAAGATATCACCCCCGAACTACTCCTCTCGTTTGATCTTGATGCTTTGCTGACAGCGCGGTTACGAGAAACTACTCCGTGGCTACGACGCATCCTTTTCTCAGCTATGCAGACAGTATGAGCTGCAAAGGAGAACAAGAAGCAGAACATCGAGACGGTAAGTGTTGTGTGCATTCGGTTGATTGTATATGAATAATTTATGAACAGTACTGCACCGTAATTGAGTCGCAAATTGCGAATATTCGCTCCCAAAACAATCTCGCCTTCCAAATGATCCACGGATTATGTTTATTTAGTGGTGGTTCATCACACAAAACCATCGATCTACTTGCGTGTTGCGGTCTTTCTCCTGCCTACGACACATTACACAATGCTCATGTTGCAATGGCTGATGGCCAGATACAGCGGAAATAAGATCGAGTCGCGAGAAGGCCTCAAGAACTTGCTGGTGTTGTGCCGTTGAAAGGGCACTCGTAAAGTCCGTCGGGAGATCTTCAATCGCATCTCGAGCAGCGAGTGATAAAGGTCGTACGGAACTCATGGTTGAAACTTAACATAGCATATAGTCTGAACGACAGTAGACGCATAAGTTGTACTACGTACGATCGAGTATCGCCGGCACGACCGGCTTCTACTAAATTTCAAACTCCTCGCTCTGCCTGCCAAATTTCTCCGAGATCGACCAGCCTGGCTACGCCACTCGACTTGTCCGTGGTATTGGTAAGCCAGGCTGGTCACGAGCCTAGTGACAAAGCTTATCTGCGCAGATAACACTCGGCAACTCCTATCGAACAAGCTTGCCAGATTTCACAGTCCAACATCTATCGTTTTGGTACACAGCGCCGGTCTTCTGTGATGTTGAATGGACTATTAATGAAGATGAAAGCTGGACTGTAATAAGGACAGGCTCGAAGCAAAAGGCAGTCCTTTTGCAGGTCCGTCATGCTAATATTCCGAAGCGTTTGCATTGACAAATTCACACTGCGCTGTAGATGCTCCTAGGTCACCTACATATAACTCCTCCTTACCCAGTGGACTGTTTCCTTTCCTCTCAGACTCTCCTTGCGACCCACACCTTGTGGCTCTTGTATCGTTCGCGCATCGGCCCTGCGCAGTAGGTGGTACCTTCTATGACTACACTCCTCAATATCGCGCAGTTAGAGAAGAAGACTGCACCATGACGAAAGTATGTTCGGAGAATACGACTTTCTAGACATTCAGCCAAAAGGTGGAAAGGTGAGTTGACGAAGTGAAGAAGGGCATCTTTGAGGACCTAAGTTTGAGATTAGGTCTTTCCTCTCTATGGTATTACCTTTGATTGCTTTATCAAATGGCCAGACGTGTCGAGCACGTATTGTGAAGGCCATTTCGTCGGAACCTTTGAGTGAGTCATTGAACTTAAATTCGACGAGTACAAAGTGTAATTGCTGTTTTCTATCCAGCTGGTCTTGACGTCGATACCCACCCAATCTTTCGTTCACTGCATGAGTCTCACAGTCCACGTTTTATCATGGGTCTCATAGTAACAGACTCCAGGAACAACTACATTGACCAAGTCAGCAACGAACTACATATTTTGCCATCAGCCACAGCACCGATGCAAAAGCAGAAACACGACTCACTGTCCAGATGTGCTCATGGACGGCCTGCCAGCCCATCGGTAAGCAGTCTTACTGGCAGACTTTCTGACCGCTGCGCTATTGACATTGCAAGGTGCAAGGGGTGAGCAACAGGGTCGAATACCGGATGCAAAGCAAGCTACTCATACTCACGTAAAGTAGAGCACAGTTGTGACTGCAGCAATCATCTTTCGTATCGCAGATCTCAAAGTAAGACTTGCACTGTGCGGCTGTGACAGACATGCATGCTGCCAAAGTAGTAACGACGACGAGGAACTTGAAAGAGAGATGCATGATATATACGAAGTGATAAAAGCTTCGCAAAGGGGACTCTGAACGTTTGAACTACTGAGGTAGACAGAGCTTGCTTTTATGTCCTGAAAACATTATTGTGAGCAAATGCTTGAAGTTCTATTGATTTGGTAGATTGGTTGCGCCTGGATGGCAGAACTTCACAATGGATGGTTTAGGATGAATCTATTGGAGCCCCAGAATCAGAACCTGCGTGGACGATATATATATCTGGACCGTTGCTCACAATGAGCATGAACATTTCGGCAACGTGCGGTGTCGCCTGATGTGACACACAAGTGACATGATTTGCATAATAAATACGGCGGACTATGAAAAATGTATGCGGCGTGGCAAATCGAACCGTCACCAAAGATCCACCATAGGAGTGTGCTTTGAAGTTGAAACTTGAAGCTTGAAGTGCCTGCAGAGCCCTGGCACATGCATAAGTACAGGTACTGCGAGTGTGCGAATCAGATTGACTCGCGAAGATGTGAAGTAGATTGTCGGCTGGAGCCGCTGGACGTTGTTCATTCATAATTCGCTGAGCGACCGGCAACGCCCGAAGGACAAATTGCTTACACAGCATATGGGCGGCTCAGTTCCGGTCGGGATGATTACTTTTAACTTGCATTCTCCACACATGTTCTAGGTTGAATTCAGTCAAGCTGGATTTAATAATATCCCTCTCTCTCAATATATATGCATTCCGACTCACCAGGAAGGCTGACTCAACGTTTACTGGGACAGTTTTTAGACGTGCACTGCTATATCGGACATCACCGAGCCAACTTGCCTCCGCGGCGGCATTCTCCATGCTGCGACGTCTTCCCTGTCTCCGGCGTTTTGCTCAATCACACTGTGGTTCCTGTCATGTCTTGCCTTGAGGCTCGTCGTTGATTTACAACGTTTTGCATCATTCCTTAGTTCGAATTCAATCGATCTCAGTCCCAAACAAAAACTTTGAATGAAGCATTGGGACAAATATAACTAGTAAGTACATCACTGAAAACCAAGATCTATGATAAACCCTTATATACACATTATAATCCCAACAATGTCTATAATCGTATAAAATATGGCAGTGCAGAAGCCATAGTCTTGTATAGAAATATATTGTTATCCCTTGCGACCAATCTTTATCATGATTACCTGTGCCCGGCATTAGTTGAATGAATTTGGCTGTGTAAAAACTCAAACAGATTGATAAACACGCTAATTGCTGAAAACAAGATATATATGTGTAGAACGCTATCCCCTATGACCAATAATTATCAAAATGGTTTTCATTTGGCATTGGCTGCATGAATCATGTTGTGACAATACTAAAACTGTACTGAAGTGATGATGCATGTTCGAAAAAGTGTCTCTCATTTAGCATTTCTAGCACAGCGGCTCTCCTGTCCAATAAGTAAAAGAGATAGAAATTCTTGCCATCTGTACCATCATATGGACAATTGCTTCATTGGCATCATGGTATTGCGGGTTTTATACTTGATTGGCCAGGAAGTCACATTGGGTTGTATAGGATTATACAGAGACACTCGGTACAATACATGTAGTTTATCAATGCCTCGCCAATTCTCTACCCTAATCTCATCATCAACACCGTCTGCAGGAACAATAACATGGGTTGAACCACAACAGATATCGTTAGTGCCTTGAAGTCCAATGAAAGCAAGGTGTCGTGGCAACTTGACACTATTGTTTCCTTATGCAAAATTTGCACTGCTCAAGTGGTTGACTGAGTTTGGCGGTGCCGGTGTACAATCAAGCTCGGCGGTGCCAGTATAGGATTGAGTTTGGTGGTATATAATCGAACTCGTGGTACCATAGGATGTAACAGGATCGAGTTCAGCCATAGGATCGAGTTTTTGGCCATGGAATAGAAGTTGGTCGCAGGGATCAAATCCAAATATGAGATCGAGTTCAGCCATATCATCGAAGACCAGTCATCCTTAGACAGAAACATAGACCACAACATGACATATCCTATTGCCAGACCATGTAGTACAGTGCGACTTTCTGGATGGCATCCTGTCGAGAAACTTGCAGGAAGTAGCGTTAATGAGTGATTGAAGGCAGAGTAGGTGATAGTGGGGATTGTAAATAAAATCTGAGTCGGATCCTTACTTATCAATGACCGGAAGATATGCTCGGCCGGTGGTGACTGAGGTCTTGACCCTTCCCAAGGGAGTTGTACCTCGTTCGTTTTGAGATCCGGTGGTCAAACTATTTCAGAATAGGAAAAGAGAAGGAGCAGGGTCGGAGCCGGGTAAGGCTGCGAGCTTCGGCGTCAGTTGCAGACAGCTAAAACCAACAGAGATAACGGCAGTTTCGAGCATCGGTCGAGGACACATGGCCAATGTTGACTTTGAAGAAAGGCCAAAATGCAGAATAGGTTTCAAGTGGGATTGAGGGATCATCCAGACCACCATTCACTACTGCCCAATCCCAACAACCGCCAGTGCTTAGCGCACATGCCCAGCGCATGTCAGCAAATGCTGACGTGGCTCGAACATATGCGAACCACACCGGAAGGCGCCAGAATGAGAGGAGTGGAGGAGGGCGAGAAGGAGATGAGGGAGAGGTAAGTTTAAGTCTTGGGTACCTATGGAAATGAGGTAGTTAGCAGCATAAAAATGCACAATACATATTACACGCACCTCTGCAGCTTAGAGAAAGGTACCCACAATCCCTCGGCCGCGTTCAACACCATCAATCTCCAGTAAAATGTCACAGCTCATTCCAAGCACCACATCCCTTCGAGCTTTTGACAGACCGGCAGTGCCTGTTCGAAAAGTCGGCTCAATGTCAAGTAAGAGATGTTAGGACCTCAGAAGCGAAGAAGGATGGCACTGACTGCGTCTTGAGATGAATTGTTGAATCAGAAAATATGACAATGACAAGCAAATGTAGCGAAGCCATGGAGGACGAGTGCAACTCACAGTGGTGTGTGTGAGTTTTGTGTGTCTAGAATTTTTGAATAGATCAGCGCCATATACGTTGAGCGTATGCCTACAGCATCGACGTCTTCCTATCATTCTGCACTGCTATATAGTATTAAGCAATTTTTACGCATGAATGCAAAAACTATACCACCAGCTTAGAATTCGACATACTGTTAAATTAATGTGTCGAAACGACAAACAAGCTCACGGATCAGGAAAATGATGCTTGATAAGTAGGCCAATACATGGGCATATAAGGACAACACAGATTTCGCCAACCTTATAAGGTAAATATTGTCATACCGGGTTATCCGGTTTTCAGTGATGTAGCTGTGATCCGGCCACCATATGTAGTTCATTTTGTGTCATGTGACATCATGGTTATTGACACTTCATCGCCACAAGCATGCATTAGAAGGAACGGCTTGTCAAGATTCTAGACTTTAAGATAACGGATCCTCATCAGATCACACAATCTCGCCCGCCGCCAAGCTCAACCTGAATATAATCGTATCCCACTACCACCCCACAGTACGTCACTCATTCAACATGCCATCCCATCTTTCACCCGCCCTATTCGATTCATCAGCTGCTCGTATTAGCATCTTTCGAATCTCAAACTCACTAGGCACTGAACTGTTGGACGACTACATCGGGCTCATAGCAAATCAGAAGGTCAGTCCATACCCCGCGCTTTTCAACCTCTATATCCTGATCTGTATCTCACAGCTTCGGACTGAATTATTTGTCTTGTCGTTTCTACTCAAAGATCGGGTCTATCCTGCTGATCTTTGGGAGCTAGTTGGGGAGCGCAGTATAGAAACGAAGCAAGAGGAAACGTTGCGATTACACCAGAGTACTTGTACTGGAGGAGATGACGGAAGTCATGCAATTGTGGAACGAATTCTCATAGAAGAGAGGAGGAAGCGGTGTCAGATAGAGGTGTCTCTGTACAGCCAGGCTATTGAACGCCTCGAGCAATACCGGACACGTGAGTTTCTTTGACTTTGGGATGTCGATTTTTAGTCTAAACAAACCTTCTTGCTCTGTAGCATTACCACGTATCGGCGATTCAGCCACGCATAACATCAGGATGCCCTCAGCAATGTCGAAGAAAGAGGTTGCACCTTTGACCTGTCCGATAGCTACGCAAGAGATGTGTGAAGCTTGGATAACTAGGAGCGAAGCCTATCTCATCCCAGCTGCAGAACCCTTCATCGAACCTTTCTCACCTTCGGACGGCTCTGCTACATCAGGACAGGATCTATTAACCACTGCGCAGGAAGAAACACCAAAATCCGCGATTTTGAAAGTGAGTACTGTAACAATCTGCTTGGCCGCGCTCACCATCTCTCTAGCACATCACCCCTTCATTACCCCTGTTAAGCACGTGGGTCACCACTCGAGCTAAAGAAGCCTTTTACGAGGCATTCAAAATAGAACAAGCCAGTCAAGCAGAACTAATGGCAAAGTCTCTTGCGAACATGCGTGACAACGGTTATATGCGCACTCGCGAGCGGGATTCGTTCACCTTGCAAGCAAAAATGCGTCGAGCCAAAGCCGAGATAGATCTATATACCCTCGCCATTGACAATACCCATGAATTCAATTTCTCTGACAACAGTGCGTACAGATTGATCACGTGTTTTCTGTCACTACTGATGCCATCCAGGTTCATCAACGTCCTCTTCTGATCAAAGTGTCCCGCAGCCTCTGTTTGAGAAAGTGCACCGCTATGAGGAGGACGTCGACGATGATACGGACGATGACTACAAATATTGGTAATGTAGGTTTTCATGTAATGGTCCCATCCTGTCAAGGCAGACATTAATACTAGTTACTACTGATTGAAGGATTCGGGCGTGAGACCTACTTTTGAACTTACCTGCGAGTTGGTGAAAGCTTAGACTTGAACTGTTCCTCTGATCGCGATCACTGTGACCCTGGGAATCCATGCACCGAAATCCAATTGAGACCGGCCTCATAACCAGGAGAGGCACGAACGTCCAGCTGGCATACGCGATCATTTTGATGAGATGGAACCAGGGTAAGTAGAAACACGCTGACTTGCCGTTGAGATGGTCTGGATCCGACAGTGCTGATGAAGACACGCTACTCGGTGAGAGTTCCGCCATATATGACATACAAGATTGGTATGCACTCTGATTCGAAAGACGTTCTTTCCGGACCTGATTTTATTTTTTCCTAGTTTTCGTCTTCATCTCTCTGCTCCAGATCTCACCGATGAAGATCGACTTGTGGTTTCAATAAAGAGCTTCTCGCTCGTTTCCTTGTGCTTATGGTGCTAGGTGCAATATGGTTAGTCCCGGTTATTGAAACGAGTTTGATGTTTGAATCCCATCCGACTTCAGTACTACATCCGATGGCGCATTAATGTGAGCCGGAGCATACCCGGATCAACACGCCTTGATTCAGGGACTTGTCAAGAGGCCCACCGGCCCCCTGTCCAGCATGATGCATGAGGCTCTACATGGCTCTTTATTCGCATCGCTTGTCGTGAGCCCTTATACTATTTTTACAGGATCGTAACATCAGACGGGTCGTGATCGCACCATTATGATATCACTATGGGCGAGCAGGGTCATATCAGGGCCTCAAGAGCTCAAGGATCTCATCAGACACAACTTAAAGCTACCGAGTCAAAGTTGCGATAGAGATATCGACTTGGATAAGGATGGTGAGTCTGACTCGCCGTCATAAACCCTAAACCTCTCACTCGAACCTTATATCTAGGTCATTTTGAAAGTTTGGCTATATGGAAAAACTTCCTTCTTCCAATTTGCGCTCGATTAACGCCCGCGAACTAAATTCATGCTGAAATTTGAATACACGTGAGGGACGCGCTGCGCGTTCTCCTATATATAGCATACTGGCGAGCACTTCCGAGTCTTATCAACCGTGATGCCTCTCGTCAAGCTTTTTACGGCTGCAGTTGATTTTTACGTCTCCCCAGAGCCTGCAAAAGGTGAGTCCGAATTCGACCGAGATGCTTGTTGCATCTGTGTAGTGGTTCCTGCAGGTAAAATTAGTGCCCACTCGATGGACGCGGATTTGACTACTAACTAGGGAAAAGTCTGGCGGGTGTGGACAGAGAAATCAAGGTACGGGAAATGTTGCAGCTGGAAGACACTTGAAGTATAAGTACAGGTGCTGGCAGCGAGGGTACGGATTAGATCGTTTCATGTCCAGGTGAAACGGAATTGGAGCTTCAAACTTCAAGCGTTAGACAGTGTATAATTTCAAACTACATAGGCTAATCAAGATACTGATATCATACAAAGATAACAACTTATGCGAATATTGCCTTTATGACAGATTTGATAAATGTTGGAATATACAAATTGAGCAGAACGCGCTCCACTTTCCTCTCTATAGCAAGAATCGAGAACGCAGTGGAGCGATCTCCGCCTTCCGTCCGCTTCTCGCTCATTTCTTTGCCTTCATGCCTTAAGCGTCAGTGAAGTACGTTTAGTAAACTGAATAACATACCGTGCCTTTGGTGTTGTCCGCATCTTTCTGCTGTTGCTTATCATTCTGGGTAGACTATCTGTCGATCAGCCCCACGACATACGGTCTCGAGCAAAAGATTTTCACTTACAGAACCTGATCCAGACGGCTTATGGCCATTGGCAGCTCCATTCCCGTTCCCATTCAGATTCGGCTTCGAATTTGGGTCTGACTTTGTCTGCGACTGCGCGCCCTGTTGATTAGTAGCGTGACTGTTGAGTTCGAACACTTCAATCAAAATCCTCTCCCACTTCTTGTCTGCATCAGCGGAGGACAGGTTCCTGCCCTCCGCTGCGCTCCTCGCACGGTCACGGGCCTCGAATATCCTGAGGAGGGTGGGTACCTTGAGTTGCTCACCCTCCTCATCGGTTATTCGGGTCGTCCGCTTGCATAGGAGTTTGTATGCAGGCAAAAGGAGCAATTTATCGATCTTGTGTTTGTCGTACGTGGTGATTTTCTCAATGGGTTCTATATCGAGCTTCTCGAGCTCATCGATGGCAAGCTTCTGCATATTTAGGAATTGCCACTTTGTCGAGAGCTCTAGTATGGTGAGCCAATGCTCTTTTGGTTCACTCAGGTTTCCGCGTCTGTACAAGCTGTGACAGTGATCAATGACGATGCCTGTGAGATATGATAATGTAAATCGATGCTTACGGACTATACCAGACCCATAAGAATTTCGTAAAGTTGGCGGCGGTTACTTCATCAAGTCGAAACGCGCTGGTATCGGAAGTTCCCCCCTGGGGAGCTTTTGCAAATTCCTGAATGAAAAATTGCGATTCGCGCTCAAAGAAGTGTCGGTGGACACGAAATAGAGTGCCTTCAACCTGCTCGCATATGGCGATCAGCGCGAGTGAGACACACAAAAGTTGTGGCGTACGTGGAAGGTGATATTACCATCTTGGAGATAGTATTGAGGATGACAGTTCATTCGGGACACGCCATTCTGAGAGCCGTTTGCCATGGTTGATATGAGTGCAGATGATGGTTGTGTGCTAGGATGTTATCGAAGTTCGCGGGAATGATATGACCGTTTTATGTGTGTGACTCGAGCGCTTGAAGGGTCAAAACAACACTGTGATTCGCTTGAAGATGTACCGGGACGATCCGCTGGAACTGCCGTATTCCTAGGATTTAGAAGCCTCGTGTTCGTTGTTTCGGGCAAGTGACTTGAGAAGCAAAGGCGAATTGTGACCCGTTCCGTGGCCAGGACTATCGATGGGCCCAATGAAGCCTGATACTACGATAGCACAGCATTTCAAGTGGATCCAGTGCATATGACACCCACAAATCGAAGTCTGATAAATCAAAAATAAGACAAATTGAACACGAGGCGTTCATGTGAGTCCTCATCTGATTCAATTGCTGCGGAGGGCTAGAACTATTGCCTTGAAGGAACATGCTGATCGTTTTTCCAATATGAATATCGTAAGAGGCGAGTCAGCGAGTCCGTATGTGTCCTGTTCAATCTTCTGGAACAGTACTCACTGCCGCCCGTAGGCATAACATATGGAGAGACAAACCAGTAAAGAGAATCTGCATCCCTGACACTCTAAAGCTGAGACCATCAAGGACGTTACCGCATGAGAGGTTTAACTTCTGATTCCTGAAGCTGTAGTTAGCGCTTATCATTCAAAAGAAGAGCTCCTTGTGTCTACCAAATCGCCAGTAGCTTCTACACCGGATTGTGGTAAACTCAAGGAGCTCTGAGCAGGCGTGAAAATATGATTGAAGTCAGCGACGAGAGAAATTTGATATTGACAACGGTACAGTACCACCGGCAACGCCCGAAAGACTTGCTTACACATGCTTGTTTGGCATCAGTAGGTACTCATTTGTCCCTGCTCAGCCGCCACTGATCCGTACAGGACCTACGGTACTCATTTGCACCTGCTTGTTGTTTCGTTCATACTTGCCCCTACTTGTTGCAGATTGTCTGTACTAGAAGCTATCGATGACAATAAACCAATGGACTTTACTAGCGTTCTGTCGATGAAACAAAGCCAGCAAACTCTCGAAGCTTCCGCACAATTCGATCGTATTTGCAGGGAACACAACATTCTAAATTATTTCGGCCTAAATGCATGATCGTTTAGTGTTTTTTTAACAATGACAATTCTGGTATCGTCCACCTCGTCGTCCAAACCTTCAATGCTGACTTTATCATGTGTTTCGCTTCGCTGGATTTTTTTGGCGTTCGGTTCAAGTTTGAACCCCTCAAAAAAACGAACCTGACCGTTCTGAGCCGTTCGCGAGGATCTGGTTTTGGGTTCGACTATTTTTTTGAACCGGGCCATGGTTCGGTTCTCAGCTTTCGTGCAGCACCCTAAGAATCGACTGAACCCGACCACCCCAGCACCACATGCTAAAGCGCGCAGGTGAGTCATTTAATTGAATACTGATTGCACAACGACCTGCTCATACTTACGTCATTATTGACACAAAGCAATTCATCGCAGCAATTCTCCTGGACTTGCCGTTGACATGATCTGGATCCGACAGTGCTAATGCATCCCACTCGGATAGAGTCCCGCCATATATGTCACATATGATACAATATTGGTATGCACTGAGACGTTCTTTCCGGACCTCATTTTATTTCTTCCTGGTTTTCGTCTTCATCTCTCTCTGTGCTCCCCAGATCTCATCGATGAAGCTTAAGATCGAATTGTAGTTTCGATAAAGAGGCTTCTCGCTCGTTTCCATGTGCTCATGGTGCGAGGTGTGAGGTGCGATATGGCTGGTTTCTGTTATTGAGACAAGTTTAATGTTTGAATCCCATCCGACCTCAGGCCTCTGTACTACATCCGATGACGCATTGATATGAGCCGGCACATACCCGGATCAACATGCTTTGATTTAGGGCCTGGCCAAGAGGTTCACCGGCCCCTGTCGAACATGAGGCGTAACATGGCTCTTTATTCGCATCGCTTGTCGTCAACCCTTATACTATTTTTACAGGATCGTAACATCAGACGGGTCGTGATCGCACCATTATGATATCTCTACGACTGAGCAGGGCCTCGATAGCAAGGATCTCATCACAGACAAGCGAGTCAGCCGAGACGATATCGACTCAATTGGATATAGATCATGAATTTGACTCGCCTTGTACGCTACGCGTTCTCTTATATATGACACACTGGCGAGCACTTCTTATCATGATATCCCTCGCAGAACCTTCAGTTATTTTTACATCTGCAGCTATTTTTCATCTCTGTTGTCGCCCCAGAGCCTGCAGAAGGAGATGCGGTGGTGAGTCCGAATTTACCGGAGATGCTTGTCGGCATCCGTAAATAAATATGCTCGTACAGTGGTTCCTTGAGGTAAAATTAGTGCCCATTCGATTGAACGCGGGTTTGACTACTAGCCAGGAAACGGTGTGGCGGGTGCAGAGAAATCAAGGTACGGGAAATGTTGCAGCTGGAAGACGCTTGGAGTAAATACAGGTGCTGGTAGCGAGGGTACGGTTTAGATCGACTCACGTCCAGGTGAAACGGTGCTCGACTGGACTTTAAATTCTCACTGGCTGTTGGAGCTTCGAGCGTGAAAGTTTATTGACAGCGTATCATTGCAAACTACATAGGCTGTGCAAAATCAAGACACCTGATATGATACAGAGATAACAATATATACGAATACTGCTGTCATGACAGATTGGATGAACATTGGAAGGTACAAATTGAGCAGAACGCGCTCCACTTTCCTCTACAACAGAAACCGAGAGCCCAGTGGAGGAATCTTCACCTCTCGTCGGCTCCTCACTCATGGTTGCCTTGCCTATATACTTTGAGCGTCAGTGAAGTACATTTAGTAAGTCGCATAACATACTTCACTTTTGTCCGCATCTTTCTGCTACTTATTACCATTCTGGGTCAGTGGGTAGACTATTTGTCAATCAGCCCTATGACATACGGTCTCGAGGTTTTTTTTTCACTTACAGAACCTGATCCAAACGCCGGCCTATGGCCATTGGCGGCTCCATTCACATTCGGCGTCGAAGTTGCGTCTGATCTTGCCTGCGATTGCGCACCCTGTTGATTAGTGGCACGACTGTTGAGTTCGAACACATCAATCAAAATATTTTCCAACTCCTCGTCGTCTGCATCAGCGGAGGTCGGGCCTGCGCGCCTGCCCTCCATCAGGCCTGCGCGCCTGCCCCCCGCTGCGCTCCTCGCACGCTCACGAGCCTCGAATATCCTGAGGAGGGTGGGTACCTTGAGTTGCTCACCCTCCTCATCGGTTATTCGGGTCGTCCGCCTGCACAGGAGCTTGTATGCAGGCAAGAGGAGTAATTTATTGATCTTGTATTTGTCGTACGTAGTGATTTTCTCAATGGGCTCTATATCGAGCTTCTCGAGCTCATCGATGGCAAGCTTCTGCATATTTAGGAATTGCCACTTTGTCGAGAGCTCCAGTATGGTGAGCCAATGCTCTTTTGGTTCACTCAGGCTTCCGCGTCTGTACGAGCTGTGACAGGGATCAATGACGATGCCTGCGAGATATAAGGATTTAAATCGATGCTTACGGACTATACCAGACCCATAAAATTTTCGTAAAATCGGCAGCGGTGACTTCATCGAGTCGAAACGCGCTGGTATCAGTGGTTCCCCCCTGAGGAACCCTTGCAAATGCCTGCAAGAAGAATAGCGACTCGCGCTCGAAGAAGTGTCGGTGGACACGAAACAGAGTCCTTTCAACCTGTTCGCACATGGCGATCAGCGCGAGTAACACACACAAAAGTTGTGGCGTACGTGGAAGGTGATATTACCATCTCTAAGATAGTATTGAGGATGACAGTTCATTCGGGACATGCCGTTCTGAGAACTGTGCGCCATGGTTGGTATGAGGGAGATGATAGATGTGTGCAAGGATGGTTTCAAAACTGATCGAAATTCCCGGGAATGATATGACCGTTTTATGTGCGACTTGAGCGCTTGAAGAGTCAAAAACAACACTGTGACTCGCTTGAAGATGTACCGGGACGATCCGCTGGCACTGCCGTATTCCTAGGATTTAGAAGCCTCGTGTTCGTTGTTTCGGGCAAGTGACTTGGGAAGGAAAGGCGAATTATGACCCGTTCAGTGGCCAGGACCATCGATGGGCCCAATAAAGCTTGATACTACGATATCACAGCATTTCAAGTGAATCCAGTGCATATGACACCCACAAATCGAAGTCTGATAAATCAAAGATAAGACAGATTGAACACGAGGCGTTCATGTGAGTCCTCATCTGATTCAATTGCTGCGGAGGGCTAGAACTATTGCCTTGAAGGAACATGCTGATCGTTTTTCCAATATGAATATCGTAAGAGGCGAGTCAGCGAGTCCGTATGTGTCCTGTTCAATCTTCTGGAACATACTCATTGCCGCCCGTAGGCAGTACATGCATAACATATGGAGAGACAAACCAGTAAAGAGAATCTGCATCCCTGACGCTCTAAAGCTGAGACCATCAAGGGCATTGCATGAGAGGTTGAACTTCTGAAGCCGTAGTCAGTGCTTATCATCCAAATAAAGAGTTCCTTGTGGCTACCGCATCGCCAGTAACTTTTACATGGGACTCAAGGAGCTCTGAGCAGGCGTGAAGATATGACTGGAGTCGCTGAGCGACGGAACGCGAGATGTTGAAAACAGTACAGTGCCACCGGCAACGCCCGAAAGACTTGCTTACACAGCACCACAATTGTCACTTGTTTGTTTGCATCAGTCGGTACTCATTTGCACCTGCTCGTCTTCCGTTCATACTTGTTGCGGATCGTCTCAGCCTCTCAGGTACTAGAAGCTATCGACAATATACCAATGGACTTTACTAGCGTTCTTTCGATGAAACAAAGCCAGCAAACTCTCATCCTGATTGCACAGCGACCTGCTCATACTCACGTTATGATCGGCACAAACCAAGTTTGATCCTCAGTCTCACATGCACTAACAAACATGGTTGCCATCAAAGCAAAACGGCGAGGAAGGATAGACGCATTTTCTGTGCGAGGTGATATGTAATCTTTTTTTATTCCAATTTTGTCCATTGAGCACGATACCCTATGTAGGACATTGCTATTGGACCCCCTGTTTCCTTTGTCTGATATCTCTGAAGATGGGAGAACACTGTAGAACGACGACCAGCTTTTACAACCTGCATATGCTTATGAGCACGATTCTGATTGATTTGGCAGAATTGTTCTTGCTGCCACATGGCAGCAATTTCGGCAGAAACTGCAAAAACATATTCAATTGATTACGACCATTGAATCTTAAGCTGTCTGTAAGCATCGACAATTCTCTTCTTTTCCGCGAATCGCAACTGCAGAATGCTCGCTCGAATTACCAGTCTTCTCATCCCAATCTCTCGCTCATTGCTTCATTATTTGATCCCGCAGTGAGCCTGCAAGCACAGTGACAAAGTCGAGAAGTTGATGTCCATTCTCTTCGATACTCCCGGTTTGTACTCGGCCAATATCCCATGTCATTTTTCCCTCACTCACTCATTGCTCCCCTGTATACAGTACTTGCAATTTGCCTGTGCTATTAGTAGGCCAGCGACCCTGCAACTGCTGCGCAGAGATGATCAGGTGTCTTTCGGAAATTGATACTTCTTCTCATTCTTGGCATGTACTTGGTCGAAGATCCCTGATACAGTAGTCATGGTCACAGTCATCACCGCTCCCCTTAAGTTTGAAACAATCACGACGATATCAAATCATTCCATGTCATACTCCGATGACCCTATACTTCCTTAAAGACAAGGAACTCTGTTGACTGAATCAGTGACTATCGACCGACGCTCTTCCAAGCTCCTCTTCCTCGTCAACCGTCCTTTGTATCCCATCCAACACTTGCGCGATGAAGAGAACCACTCTCGAGCTCCCATGCTTACCCTTTGGGGGCAATTACCGCGCAGGCAGTAACTTTAACTTTGTCGCCACCTTTTTCCCTCGTCATAACGCTAACAACAATGGTCATTTCTTCTCAGACTTGAGCTTAGTGGACCACGAGCAAAAATAGGCACGGTCGATCATTCCCAGATAAATTCAATATCTACATTTCTCAAGCGGTACGAAAATTTGTCCAAAGCAACTGGCTGCAAACCAGGTATTGCACCATCAACCACGATAGCAAGGTGAAAGCAGAAACATGACTCACTGTTGCGACGTGCCACTCGGGCTGCCGGCTGAATTTTCAACTGGCCTCTATATGCAGAGGAAACCTTTATCCTAAGGCGCGCAGGTGAGTCATGTCGTTGAATCCTGGTCGCACAGCAACCTGCTCATACTCACAAGAACATAGGCGCACATCAAGCCACCGCAGCAATCCGTGGATGATCCGCAAGATTTAAAGCTGCATGCACTGACGAACATAGGTGCTGTCAAAGCAACAACAATGAGAGAGAGATGCATTTTCTGTGCGACGTTATACGGTTCTTGCAGGTTATCTCTGAGGATGAGTGAATATTATAGGACAACGGCCAGCTTTTATACCATCCATATACTAATGTGCGCCATTCTGATTGCTTTGGTAGAATTGTTATTGCTGTCAGATTGCAGAAATTTCGGCAGAACCTGTAGCAGCGGCCTCTATGGATTACGACCATGCCACATTGTATCATAACCCAATGGCATATCTCATTCACTCATCGCTTCATCATTTGAACCTGCAGTGAACCTGCACAGCGGTGAAATTGAGAAGTTGACACTCATTTTCGTGAATTTCGTCAATACGAAGTTCCAATATGTACTCGTTACTTTTCTCTCACTTGCTCCCTGATATATAGTACTTGAAATTTGTCTGTGCTAATTGTAGGTTAGCTAGTGACCCTGCAACCGCTGTGCAGAGATAACGAACATCAGCAAACTACAGTGCTTTGTATAGGGCTGTATAGCGCATAAGCTGGTCCCTACTACTAGCTAGTTCACCCCAGCAGCTCCCTGTATAGATGCCGCTCACAGAAACACCCAGTAAATACCCAATATCTGTTGAATTGCAATTTTTTTTCACTGTTTATGTATGTACAGGCACTCAGAGCACTCAGAAAGCAAGAATTGTGCACACACTCCGAACTGGACCGAACCGAACCACAGCAGCAAGTTGGATGCGAAGGTCCGGAAACAGTCGGACCGTCCTTTTCATCACATGACCCTATACTTCCTTGAACTCCGTGCAACTCCGTGACGTTGACGAAATTACTAGTGACCAACCAACGCTCTTCCAAGCATATCCGAGTCTTCCTCATGAACCGTCCCTTGTACCCAATCCAACACTTGCTCGATGAAGAGAACCACTCTCGAGTTCCCACGCTTACCCTTTGATATCCATTACTGCGCAGGCAGTGATATTATGCCCTTCAATCTTGTCGCCACCTTTTTCACATTCATCGTAACGCCAACAGCAATGGTCACTTCTTCCGACAGCTTCTGAGACTCGAGCTTAGTGGACCACGAGCTTAACTAGACACGGTCGATCATTTTCAAATAAATTTCAAACATTCACATCGCTCGAGCAGTACGAAAATTTGTCTATTGAAGCAGCTGTATTGCTTGGCTCCGAACTAGGTATTGGATCATCGAAAATGATAACAAGGTGAAAGCAGAAACATGACTCACTGTCGTGACGTGCCACTCGTGCTGCCGGCTGAATTTTCAACCGACTACTAAAGGCAGATGAATCCCAAATCCTGGCGCGCAGGTGAGTCATGTCGTTGAATCCTGGTCGCACATCGACCTGCTCATACTCACGGGCCCATCATAGACACACTTCCAGTTACTGCAGCAATCACTTTGTGATCCGCAAGATTCTACAGGGCCTTTACATGCACTGACAAACATAGGTGCTGTCAAAGCGACGACGACGGCGACGAGCGAGAAACGCATTTTCTGTGCGAGGAGGCTGATATGGAATCTTCTGAGGGGGCTATTTCTGTGGATGGGGGAATGTTATAGGACAAAGGCCAGCTTTTATCTCATTCATATGCTGATGGGTATGATTCTAATCGTTTTGGTAGAATTTCTATTGCTGTCAGATTGCAGAAATTTCGGGCATGAACGGGCTCCCATGTCACATTTTATCGTATCCCAATATCTCACTCGCTCATCGCTTCCTCATTTGAACCTGCAGTGACCATGCACAGCGACGAAATGGAGAAATTGACGTTCATTTCCGTAAATCTCGTCGATACTCCCGATATGTACTCGTTTTCTCTCTCACTCGCTCGTCAATATAATACCTGCAATCACCTATACCAATCGTCCAGTAATCCTGCAACTGGTATGCAGATATAATAAGGTGTTTTTTAGAAATTGGTACTCAATTCTCATTATTGGCATTTGATTGGTCAAAGATACCAGTGGGTACCGTGGTCCAACATTCACAGCTCCCTCTGAAGTTTTGGACGATAACGACGATATCAAGTCATTCCATGGCATACCCTGATGACCACGCACTTCCTCGGAGACAAGGACCAGTGTTGATGACACGAGTGACTATTCCTAATGAAAATAGATAGACGCACTTCAATCTTTGATTGCTTTTTAACCTGCTTTCGCCCTTATTGAATGTTCGTGCTGGATCGACGCGTCTCTGAATATCTCCACAATCTGCACTTGCGATTTCTATTTGACCGCCTTGTTAACCTTTTCACGTCCTATGCAGCTCTACATCAGAGAGTTATTCAACTCATCCCGACAGCAACACTTCTCTTCAGTCTGGCGCTTCGATAGCGTATTGCAGAGTATATAAACGAACAAGGATCCGGAAACTAAGGTATCATACAAAGTACATGAATGCTGCTGCGGTAACTGACTCAACGAATGTTGGAATGGTCAAATAGACATTTAACCTTAAGCTTCGTCATCCGCCGAATTTTTTCGCCTGCATTTCTCCAGCATCCGTGGATTATGTTTAGCGAGTCGGTATTACATACCGATCCTGTAGTTTTGTTGTCTTTCAGTTTATTGTCATTCTAAGATTATCTTCAATCAGCCACACAGCACACTCGACCGAGCCGAAGAATTTTACTTACTGAACCTGATGTAGACGGCTTTGCAACCTGCAATTCGCCTATGCCAATCGTCCGGTAACCCTGCTACTGCTGCGCAGAGATAATAAGGTATCTTTTGGAAATTGATACTCAATTTTCATTTTTGGCATTCGATTCGTTAAAGATACCAGTGGGTGCCGTGGTCCAATATTCACACTCCCTCTAGAGTTTTAGATGGCCACGACTATGTCAAGTTATTCCATGGCATGCCCTGATGACCACGCACTTCCTCGGAGACAAGGACCAGTGTTGACGACTAGTGACTATTGAAAATTGACAATCAAGAGACGTCTAAGTACAAACTGAGGTAGATACTAGATAGAATCTAAGAAATTCGACACAGCCAACTTGTTGGGTTGCTATAGCCTTTGTAGTCGGTTAGTAAGTTTGTGTTTTCACATCCAGTGTAGCTGTGCCTTACCATCCCGGCATGGCTGAAATCCAAACTCCGTGCTTCGCCTGCTAAATTTCTCAGAGATCAACCAGTCTACTACGTCAAACACTTAACAACATCTCAGACGTAGTAAAGACTGGCTACGAGTCTAACGCCGCTCCCCCTAAGTTTTAGATAATCACGACGATATTAAGTCACTCTATATGGCATATCCCGCTGACCCTATACTTTCTTAGAGAGACAAGGAACTGCGTTGACGGAATTAGTGACTATCGACCAGCGCTCTTCCAAGCTCCTCTTCCTCAGTCAACCGTCCTCTATACCCCAGCCAACACTCGCTCGATGAAGAAAACCGCTCTCGAGCTCCCATGCTTACACTTTGAGGGAAATTACCGCGCAGGCAGTGAGTTCAACTTTGTCGCCACTTTTTTTCAGCTTTCATCGTAACGCTAGCAATGGTCGTTTCTTTCGATAGCTTCTCAGACTCGAGCTTGGTGGACCATGAGCAAAGCTAGGCACTGGTCGATCACTTTCAGATGAATTCAAATATCTACTAGTACATTGCTCGAGCGGTACGAAACTTCGTCCAAGGCAACTGTATCGATTGGCTGCGAACTAGGTATTGCACCATCAATTACGATAGCAGTTTGAAAGCAGAAACATGACTCACTGTTGCGACGTGCCACTCGGGCTGCCGGCTGAATTTCAACTGACTGCTATATGCAGATGAAACCTTTATCCTGAGGCGCACAGGTGAGTCATGTCGTTGAATCCTGGTCGCACAGCGACCTGCTCATACTCACAAGAACATAGGCGCATGTCAAGCCACCGCAGCAATCATTGGATGATCCGCAAGGTTCAAAGCTGCATGCACTGGCGAACATAGGTGCTGTCAAAGCAACAACAATGAGGGAGAGATGCATTTTCTGTGCGAGGTCATACGGTTCTTGCAGGATATCTCTTGAGGATGAGGGAATATTATAGGACAACGGCCAGCTTTTATACCATCCATATACTAATGTGCACGATTCTGATTGTTTTGGTAGAATTGTTATTGCTGTCAGATTGCAAAAATTTCGGCAGAATCTGTAGGGCTCTATTGATAACGATCATTGTATCATACCCCGATGGGATATCTCACTCATTCATCGCTTCATCATTTGAACCTGCAGTGACTCTGTACAGCGATGAAATCGAGAAGTTTATCTCGTCGATACGAAGTTCCAATATGTACTCGCTTATTTTTTTCTCACTTGCTCCCTGATATATAGTACTCACAATTTGTCTGTGCTAATTGTAGGTCAGTGACCCTTTGAACTGCTGTGCAGAGATAACGAACATCAGCAAACTTAAATGCTTTGTATGGAGCTATATAGTGCATAAGTTGGTCCCTACTAGCTAGTTCATCCCAACAGCTCCTTACTTTGTGGACATCCGTATAGATGCCGCTCACAGACCACCCAGTAAATACCCAATATCTGTTAAACTGCAATTTTTCTGTTTATGTATGTACAAACACTCAGAGCACTCAGGAAGCAAGAATTGTGCACACACCCTCTGAACTGGACCGAACCGGACCACAGCAGCACTAAACAGTTGGATGCGAAGGTTCGTCCTTTTCATCACATGACCCTATGCTTCCTCGAACTCCGTGACGTCACCTTGCTTGCAAGGTCATATATCATATGCCAACTGCGAATCGTCCACAATTACAAACAACGGCATTCTCCACATTCTCTGTTCGTATCACTTGCTACGATTGTGACCAGTCTCTGTCCTTCCAAAATTCCGTTTCAGCTGCGTTCTTTTCCCTCCGTCTTTCCGATTACAAAAGAAAGCAAGGTCATCGCCGGCGACGGCGCCTAATTGACGAAATTACTATCGACTACCACGCTCTTTCGAGCTCATCTTCCTCACGAACCGTCCCTTGTATCCAATCCAACACTTGCTCGATGAAGAGAACTACTCTCGAGCTCCCACGCATACCCTTTGGGGTTAATTACCGTGCAGGCAGTGATATTATTCAAGTCTGTCGCACCTGTTTTCACATTCATCGTAACGCAAACAGCAATGGTCGCTTCTTCCCGACGCTCGAACTTAGTGGACCACGAGCAAAATTGAATACGGTCGATTAATTTCAAACATTCCCACTGCTCGAGCAATACAAAAATTTGTCTAAAGCAGCTGGCTCCGAACTACTAGATTTTGCATCGTCAAACATGATAACAAGGTGAAAGCAGAAACATGACTCACTGTCGTGGCGTGCCACTCGTGCTGCCGGCTGAATTTTCAACTGACTACTACAGGCATCTGTATGCAAGAACCTAAGGCGCGCAGGTGAGTCATGTCGTTGAATCCTGGTCGCTTAGCGACCTGCTCATACTCACGGGCCCATCAAATATACACTGCCACTGAGGGCAGCAATCACTTGATGTGACGCAAGTATCTCCAGCGTTACCACATGCACTGACAAACATAGACGCTGTCAAAGCGACGACGATAGCGAGGAGGGAGAAACGCATTTTCTGTGCGAGGTGATATGGAATCTTCTAAGGGGGGTCTCGAAGGATATCTGTGCGGATGGGGGAATGTTATAGAAAAACGGCCAGCTTTTATATCATATCATCCATATACCAATGGGTATGATTCTGATCGTTTTGGCAGAATTGTTATTGCTGTCAGACTGCAGAAATTTTGGGCATGAGCGGGTTTCCATCCCCCATTGTATCATATCCCTAATACCTCACTCGCTCATCGCTTCATTATTTGAACCTGCAGCGACCGTGCACAACGACGAAATGGAGAAGTTGAAGTTGACGTTCATTTCCATTGTCGTGAATCTCGTTGATAGTCCCGATATGTACTCGGTGTCATTTTTCTCTCGCTCACGCGTCAATATATCCGCCTCTACCAATCGTCCTGTAACCCTGCAACTGCTGCGCAGAGATGATAAGATATCTTTTGGAAATTGCTACTCGATTGACATTCTTGGCATTCGATTAGTGGATACCGTAGTTCAATATTCATAGCTCCCTCTGAAGTTTTAGACGATCACGACGATATCAAGTCATTCCATGGCATACCTTGATGACCACGCACTTCCTCGGAGACAAGGACCAGTGTTGACGACTAGTGAATATCCGATGGGTGAAAATTGACAATCAAGAGGTAGATAGGTATAAGCAATAGACGTACAGGTACAAACTGGGGTAGATAGGAATCTAAAAAATTCAAAACGAACTTGATTTGGGTTGTAGTATTCCGCTGAGTCTTCATAGATTTGTGTTTTCATATCCAATACTGTGCCTTCTTGGGACTATGTATAAACGCACTTGAATTTTTGATTGCCTTTTACATAACCTGCTTTCGCTCTTATTGAATGTTCGTGCTGGATCGGCGCGTCTCTGAATACTGATCACTGCACAGTTCGTGATATGGATGTCCTCTGAATATATTCCTAATCCGCACTTGCGATTTCTATTTGACAGCCTTGTTAACCTCTTCACGTCCCATGCAACTCTACGTCAGAGAGTTGTTCAACTCACGCCGATTGCAACACTTCTCTTCAGTCTGGCGCTACGATAGCATATTGCAGAGCATATAACTGATCAAGAATCTGGAGACTAAGGTATCCTACAAAGTACATGGCTAGTGCTGCGGTAACTGACTCGATGAATGGTGGAATGGCAAAATAAACAAGTACACGCTCCACTGTCTGCTCCGTGGATTTTGTCGAGCGGACAGTCGAGTAACCTTTTTCATCCGCCGGTTCGTTTCTCATTTTTTCCCCTATATTTCTCCAGCATCAGCGGAATACGTTTAGAGATTCGGATTACATACCGATTTGTTGCCGTCTTTCTGCTTGCTATCATTCTGAGGAGACTATCTTCAATCAGCCACACAGCACACTCGACCAAGCCGAAAATTTTTACTTACCGAACCTGATGTAGACGTCTTGGTACCATTGGGGCCTCCATTCCCATGGGGCTTTGGAGTGTTTATGAATGGCACGTCGTCTGGTTTTCCTGACGGCTGCGTGCCCTGTCGGTTAGCGCTATGACCTTTGAGACTGAATACATCGATCAATATCCTTTCCAGCTCCTCGTCATCCGCATCAGCGGAGGTCGGACTACGACACCCGCCCTCCGCTGCGCTCCTGATCGCACGCTCGCGAGCCTCTTGTATGCCGAGGACAGTGTGCAGTTTGAGCTGTTCACCCTCCACGATGGACATTCGGCCCGCCCGCTTGCACAGGAGCTTATACGCAGGTAAGAGAAGCGATTTGTCGATCTGATATCTGTCGTAGGTGGTGATCTTCTCGATGGGTTCAATGTCCAATTTCTGGAGCTCATCGACAGCTAGCTTCTTCATTTCTGGGAACTGCCATACTGTCGAGAGCTCCAGGATGGTGAGCCAGTGATCTTTCGGTTTGATTTCGCGTCTGTACGAGCTGTGTACAGTGATTAATGACGATGCCTGCGGGATATGATGATTTAGATCAATACTTACGGACTATACCAGACCCATAGGAACTTGGCAAAGTCCTCGACGGTAACTTTCTCGAGTCGGAACGCGCTGGAATCGGAAGTTCCCTCCTTGGGAGCCTTTTCAAATTCCTTCACGAAAAATTGCGATTCGACTTCGAAGAAGTGTCTATGTACACGGAATAGTGTGTCTCCAACCTGCTCCCATGTGATGATCAGCACGACAGAAACATAGAACAGGTGGGGCGTACTAGAAAAGTGATATTACCATCTTTCAGATAGTATTCCGAATGGTGGTGTACCGGGGAAACGCCATTATGAGAACCACTTGGCATGGTGGAGATGCGTTGTGGGGTGAGAGTGGTTTGAAAAGTGGTCGGAGATCGCGGCCACGACGCGGCCTTTTATGTGTGACTCTGGCGCTTGAAGAACCAAACAAGCACTGTGATTCAATCCAGGGATGATCCGCTAGAACACGCACCAACTCGCGTGATCCCAGGATTGGAAGCCTCGTGTTCGTCGACTTGGAGAAGCGTTGGGAAAGAAAGGCGACTTTGGACCACCATCGATAGAGTTCGATGGAGCTTGATACAACAATCGCACAGCATCTTACGGGAATCCAGTGCATACGACGCCTACACATCGAAGTTCGATAACTGAAAGATAAGAGAGCTTGAACACGAGGCAATCAGGTACATTCTGATTCATTCAATGGCTGTGGGGCTAGAACGGTTGCCTAGAATTCCATGTCGTAAGAGGCGAGTAGGAAATGCAAGGACCCATGCATTTCACAAGAACCGAGCTCTACATACATAAACGCTGCTTCCATTAGGGTACAACACACGGAGATCAAAAAAAGATCAAGAAAGAGTGAGAATTTGCATCTCCGGCGCTCTGAGACTGATAACATTAGATTCAAGGAAAAGGCCCGAACAAGCTGCGACCTTGTCATGAATGTAATAAGTCACAAGTGAAGAGTTCCTTGTATTTACCAAATCGCGATAAAGTCGCCATTTAGTTGTATGACAAAATACAAGAAACTCAGCTGGTGTGACTGATCAGAACAACTTGAACTTTAACGCGATCGAGGGGAGAGTTTGAAAATTTCAAGATCACCCGGATTCGACCTGCTTACGTATACACAGCATCGGCTCACCGTATGTCCTCGGATTATTATCACCTTTGCTTGCAGGATTTCTATGTGGCCAACATGCATATGCAATTGCGGCTTTGCTTCTGACACGATTGTCGGCTAATTAGCATTGGTTCTTGCTGCTGTCGGTGGATCTTTCAACGCTGTCCTTGTATTTTGCTTGTATGTACATGGACTCACAACCCCTCGCCTTTAGCTCATCCCTACAATTGCTTTCGACGTATCTCATTCTACGGGAAACGGCTCAACACACCTTCGTGTTAACGCTCGTTTCGAGCGTGTTCGACAACGGACAGAGTGTAACGGATATCAATTTTTCGCCTTCCATCTACTATTGTTCTCATCCATATGCATCACCTATCGGACCCAACTTCGAGAACAAAATATGAAGACACCACAGACATATATAGCCGCTTTCATTGAGATATTGTGTGGTGCGTGTTCTGCTACATCTCAAGACGTATATATCTAAAGTGGAGGTATTCAGCACCTAGTACAAGCCGTTCAAATTAGCTTCAAACCTCACGAAGGCGTGCATAGGCATTCAGCCACCTCCCGGAAGTCCTGCTGGAATGCCTTTAGCGGGTCATGAAGCGCATATACCCTTTCCGAATGACCAAAATACAAGGGACAACACGCATGCATCCTGCTTTCTGGGATATGGCGCATATATTCAACCCTCTAACGCATGTCGTATGCATATATGGCTAGGGTCCTCGCTTTATAGGGTCCCTCACTGTATATGCGCACAACATCCTGCTAGTCTTCCTTTGGAACAACCAACCACTAAATTGACCACGCAGACGCATCCATATCTCATCAAAGCTCCAACGTTGATGCACGTGCTCGATACAACTATGTCCTTCGTCTACGGGATCTCATCAATGCTCTAACCACTTCCAAATGTCGCGCAACACCATACGCTCAAGCCTTGTCTGTAATCACAGTACTTCACGGCGGACCTCCCCCACTGGTCTCGTACCTTCTGAGAGGTGCACGCAGCTGTCCTGACTGGTACCTTGCTATTTGTTTTACTTACGACGTATATGCAGTCTTGACGTGTGCTGATGATCACGTCAAAGTGAATAATACGCCGCCATGCTTGAATGTGGATTGACTCTTGATTGTACAGATATAGAACTTATTGTTGTGGAAATGATCTTGCGTCAGAGAATGTGTGAAGGGCTGTGACGAAGTGTAGTGAAGGTGGCGTGATCAAGATCTCTCCAGGTATGACTCCCATGGCAGTTGCTGAAGCACAAGGTCGACAAGGGGAACGCCTGTGCCGCGTTGCCTCTGAGGAACTTCGATTTCCACAATCTCAAATTCAGCACGTTAAATATTGAGGAACACTCAACACAATGACTTCTCGCCTACCTGAGCGAGCGATTCGAAGGTCACATGAAAGGGAATCGAAGAAGGCAAGTGGATCGTTGTGCTTCATTGAAACCGGCGAAAATCTAGAGAACCAACCCTCCCAGCTGAAAAATGACAATGCCATTGGATAGTCCATCACCCTTACTTCGATCTTCTATCTCTGCCAATCGAGATCATACCCTGGATGATAGAGTACTCGGAAATTCCCCGCCATCCCGAGCCCATTTACCGCAACTTACAAGCGTAGAAAATACTTGTGATTTCAAAGGCAGTTAAATCTAGCGCAAACACGTTCAGAGATATCCAGAGTGATCAGCCAGAACATGGACTCACTCTAGGATCGGAAGCCTTGTGTTCGTTGATTCGGACAAGCGTACTTGAGGAGAGAAGGGGAATTGCCAACCATTTCTTGGCCTGAAATCTACAGCATTTAACGCCAACCCAGTGTTCATGACGCCTACAAATCAAAAGTCAAAGGTAAGGCAGCCTATACACCAGGTAATCAACCGACCATATGCGGTCTGGTCCACCGCTCATAGAGATACACTGACAATGTTGCCAGTACAAAGTTACGAATGAAATTTGCGGGAGACAATCGAGTAGACATTCAGCGAGTATGTATCATAATATTTTCCATAACCATGAAAATACTACGTGACATACTCACTGCCTCCATCAGGCACAACATAGTTGTAAACAGATGAGCGAAGAGGATCTGCATCCCTGGCGCTCTGAAGCTGAGAGCACCGGGGAGAGGTATGAGTATTTTGCTGAGTGAAGCCCGTAGCTTTTCGAGCTCGCTGTGGCTGCCAAATCACCGCAAATGATCATAATTGTTTGTATATTGGCAGAGAAAAGAAGTTTGGGGAAAAGATCAAGCAGCGTGGTGGTTAACGTTGGATGCAGAAGAGTCGATCATAACAACATGACATTCTCAACCAGAAGGTACCGGCAACGCCCGATGGCAATTTCGTAGTTTGAGACGAGTTCGAACTTCGTTTTCGGGACGCATTGCGAGAAACAATCCAGATGGCCCTCCTCCCGTTAACAAAACCTCGTGTCACGTCAGGAAGAGTGTTATGCACATTCCTGATGAGTTCTTTGTTGTCCTCTCGTGCGTGTCTTCCCCACCTATCTCAAAAACTTACTTACAACATTCAGTCACCGAGAAACAATATGAAGACGCCTCTAGCATAGCCAACAGTTGTAGCCTGGCACTCGTATGCCAAACCTCTGTATCCCTCTGCACAGCGCATTAGATGTTCAAGAACACCCTTCACAATGACTTCTCGCCCACCCGACGGGCCGAGCGAGCGATTCAAACACGGAGAGTCTAAGAACGAAAGTGGATTGTCATGCCCCACTGAAAGAAAATGCCAGGTGATAACTATACAATGCTCATGATCACTCTTTGACATCTCACAAGCAGCCTACATAGTCAAAGCTTGGCAGACCAGTACGTGAACAGAACGCCTCATTTTGAATGGCATGATCGCAGGATAGTTCACCTCATCACTGAAAACCAAGATCTATGATAAACCCTTATATACACATTATAATCCCAACAATGTCTATAATCGTATAAAATATGGCAGTGCAGAAGCCATAGTCTTGTATAGAAATATATTGTTATCCCTTGTGACCAATCTTTATCATGATTACCTGTGCCCGGCATTAGTTGAATGAATTTGGCTGTGTAAAAACTCAAACAGATTGATAAACACGCTAATTGCTGAAAACAAGATATATATGTGTAGAACGCTATCCCCTATGACCAATAATTATCAAAATGGTTTTCATTTGGCATTGGCTGCATGAATCATGTTGTGACAATACTAAAACTGTACTGAAGTGATGATGCATGTTTGAAAAAGTGTCTCTCATTTAGCATTTCTAGCACAGCGGCTCTCCTGTCCAATAAGTAAAAGAGATAGAAATTCTTGCCATCTGTACCATCATATGGACAATTGCTTCATTGGCATCATGGTATTGCGGGTTTTATACTTGATTGGCCAGGAAGTCACATTGGGTTGTATAGGATTATACAGAGACACTCGGTACAATACATGTAGTTTATCAATGCCTCGCCAATTCTCTACCCTAATCTCATCATCAACACCGTCTGCAGGAACAATAACATGGGTTGAACCACAACAGATATCGTTAGTGCCTTGAAGTCCAATGAAAGCAAGGTGTCGCGGCAACTTGACACTATTGTTTCCTTATGCAGGGATTTGCACTGCTCAAGTGGTTGACTGAGTTTGGCGGTGCCGGTGTACAATCAAGCTCGGCGGTGCCAGTATAGGATCGAGTTTGGTGGTATATAATTGAACTCGTGGTACCATAGGATGTAACAGGATTGAGTTCAGCCATATCATCGAAGACCAGTCATCCTTAGACAGAAACATAGACCACAACATGACATATCCTGTTGCCAGACCCTGTAGTACAGTGCGACTTTCTGGATGGCATCCTGTCGAGAAACTTGCAGGAAGTAGCGTTAATGAGTGATTGAAGGCAGAGTAGGTGATAGTGGGGATTGAAAATAAAGTCTGAGTCGGATCCTTACTTATCAATGACAGGAAGATATGCTCGGCCGGTGGTGACTGAGGTCTTGACCCTTCCCAAGGGAGTTGTACCTCGTTCGTTTTGAGATCCGGTGGTCAAACTATTTCAGAATAGGAAAAGAGAAGGAGCAGGGTCGGAGCCGGGTAAGGTTGCGAGCTTCGGTTGCAGACAGCTAAAACCAACAGAGATCCGACTCGGATATCAACAGCAGTTTCGAGCATCGGTCGAGGATGAATGGCTAATGTTGACTATGAAGAAAGGCCAAAAATGCAGAATGGGTTTCAAGTAGGATTAAGGGATCATCCAGACCACCATTCACTACTGCCCGATCCCAACAACCGCCAGTGCTTAGCGCACATGCCCAGCACATGTCAGCAAATGCTGACGTGGCTTGAACATATGCGAACCACACCGGAAGGCGCCAGAATGAGAGGAGTGGAGGAGGGCGAGAAGGAGATGAGGGGGAGGTAAGTTTATGTCTTGGGTGCCTATGGAACTGAGGTAGTTAGCAGCATAAAAATGCACAATACATATCACACGCACCTCTGCAGCTTAGAGAAAGGTACCCACAATCCCTTGGCTGCGTTCAACACCATCAATCTCCAGTAAAATGTCACAGCTCATTCCAAGCACCACATCCCTTCGAGCTTTTGACAGACCGGCAGTGCCTGTTCGAGAAATCGGCTCAATGTCGAGTAAGACATGTTAGGACCTCATAAGCGAAGAAGGATGGCACTGACCACGTCTTGAGATGAATTGTTGAATCAGAAAATACGACAATGACAAGCAAATGTAGCGAAGCCATGGAGGACGAGTGCGACTCACAGTGGTGTGTGTGAGTTTTGTGTGTCTAGAATTTTTGGATAGATCCAGCGCCATATACGTTGAGCGTATGCCTACAGCATCGACGTCTTCCTATCATTCTGCACTGCTATAGTATTAAGCAATTATTACGCATGAATGCAAAAACTATACCACCGGCTTAGAATTCGACATACTGTTAGAATAATGTGTCGAACACGACAAACAAGCTCATGGATCAGGAAAATGATGCTTGATAAGTAGGCCAATACATGGGTATATAAGGACAACACAGATTTCGCCAACCTTATAAGGTAAATATTGTCATACCGGGTTATCTGGTTTTCAGTGATGCTATGTGTGACATACAACATCGACTGGTATGCACTTTGCTTAATCGAGTTTTCAATATCTCCCGCCCGATTCAGAAGCTCTCATCTGTTTTTGTATCTTTCATTGCTGCAGATCCGCTGACGGTAATTTTGGTAGATGCTTCCCACTCCTGATTAAGCTCATGACGCAGCTTCTGAGTGTCAGGCGGTCAAACTCATCATACATTATAATAGATATAGCGACTCGAGCGTATGTTGAGTTTGACGACTAATTAGCATACAATATGGTGAGTTGTTGAGACTGCAGTCATTTTGATGGGTTGCAATGTACCCTTGACGATACATGTGACCTTGACAAGAAGTGAACTCACCAGGGCATTAATTTTTGATGTTTTAATCTGACTGTGGTGTTTTTTGAAGCACTGGCCCGAGTGCAGGCATACACTTCGACATTCCGGTCCCTAGATTATGCGGGGACGACTCAGCCACGTTCTAACCACAGCTGCTTTCGCGTATGTTCACTCTGGATCAATGTGTTGTAAAATGAGCGTGACTATTGTGCTTGTCTGAGTGCATTCGTCCCTGATAGAAGATGTGCCTTCTTCACATATCTTCCCCATCCGCGAGCCTCTGGCTTTCCTTCCAAACCGCTTTGGCAGCAGGGTCATACTGACAGACTTTTCCAAAGGCTAGTAGATTGGTGTGATGCTCACATGTGTTGACTAGTCTTTTTGCATGTACATTTCACTCCTCGATTACATGCGAGTATATAACCAGATTTTATGGTAATCACATTTCGATGGAAACGTCCGTGCTCAAGTCAAGCGGCAGCTTGGGCTGTTCAAAATGCATACCCTCACTCCCGATTATAACAGTGATCCATCAGGTAAGTTGGCATGCCCTGTTACATCAATGAAACAAAACTACAAATGCGGAATAAATGCAGTCCAAGCTACTGTATCGTATACGCCAGTAGGTAGTGATTGTAATAAGCTCAGAATTATGAGTGCAATTAGTGTAATACACGCAGTAATATATATGAGAGTGGCGATCTGTCCAGGATAAAGTCCAAATATCTTAATCAAAGGCCACTGTCTGTGCATGAGTGACAGGGTATCAAGCGAAATAACTACTGGTGCACATATTACCAAAAGGGAGGTTGCGCGCCATAATGTGCTCTGCGTGGCTGTGAAACAGTAATTCCAACCGAGACAATGTATCCCTCCAAACACCATCCCATTGAAACATCCACTGAGAAGTATGATCTTACCAACACGATACCTAGTCAGTAGGCCCCCGTTATCGTCAAACTTACAGGCATTGTAGCCACCTAGAGATGGCACACGACGATAACAGGCAGCACGGGGGGAAGGGTTTGCCTCAATGCCAATGAGACAGACAAAGGGATAAAATATATGTCCCCTAATCCGCTCATAGTAGGACCTGGGGCTAAAGTCTCTGTTGTAACTTGATTTGCAAGAATGCAGACGAATCAGAATAATTTCAGGCAATGATATTGACGACGTACTCATAGTTTAGCAGGTCTGGCGGAGTTGCATTTGCTTTCAGATGAACAATATAAGGACATCCCACATCCTTAGGCTTCTTCCACCACAAAGCATAAGAAATGCAGGTCAAGGCAGCTACTGCCAGAGTGTCAATTTCAAGCAGGGTTATCGGAAGGTTCTGGATGCAACGAGCGACAAGCTGTGAGACAAACCACACCAACTGAAGAATGGCGATGCCTTTGGATAGTCCATCACCCTTGCTTCGGTCTTCTATATCTGCTTCTGTGATGACTGGCATGTCCACGGATCCCCTACGAACAAACTCCAGGAGTTCATTGGAAGTAAGAGTAGCTCGCGGCATGCCATCAACGTAGAGCATAAATCCACCCATCCATGTGAAGAACCCATGGGTTATTGTCCATTCTATAAAGGGATTGGTTGCATGTTGGTCCTGCATAACTGAAGAATCCAAGCATATAACTGATGTTTAAGCTCTGCATAGCGGCCAGGAGCGCCTGAACTTCATCAGGAAAAAACATAGTGACTACATAGTACTATATAGTCAGGGTAGTGCGAGTAGCCCCGTCGTCAAGTGCCCTCTATGTACTCACCATAGAATCCCATAGTAAGCTACCAGTAGCTACCAGGTACTACTGTAGTTTGTAGGAGCACTACTACAGGCAACTATGACAAGAAAATAAATAATCAGTCAAGGGGATTCAAACTCTCGAACTCACTATTAACTTTCTCACCCAACAATTCATGCAACAGCACACATACCATTAGGCTATCAGACTGTTACAATATATCATGTGTAATATAATTTAACAAGCTACCGTGGACTTGGAAGAAATTTCGTTGAATTACTGGCAGCAACTATTATTTATACTACCATCTGCTCACAACACAACAGCTACTATGTAGTAATGTTGTTATTCTAAAGCTTGCTGCATTGGTTCATATATTAAATATGTTTGTCTTTGTGAAGATCACTGCTGGTGAAGCTATATGTAGTGGTATGAAGACCTTGAAAGCCGGTAGCTCCTGTAGCTACCTGTAGCACGCTGAACTACAGCTTACTACAGCACTCCTGCATGCTACAGGAACAAATATTTGCTACCATCACTCCAGGTTACTCCTGGAGCTCCTGTAGCTCTATGTAGCCCTAGTGACAGCTACATAGGGCTACTAGGGCTATATAGTGCTATATAGCTGTCACTGGAACTCCCCCGATTTTTGTTTTTTCCTGATGTTCTACCCGCTTCTGAAACATCACCGGCTAACATAGCTGGACTCTCTGATATATCTTGATCATTGCTGTGGGTCGCGGCACTTTGTGCACTAAACGCATCATTAATGTCCTCTGCAGCTTCACGGAGGGTGACATGGCCATTTGAAAACTGCTGCGTGGTCCATGTGATCATGAGTTCTGGGGAAATCGACGCTGTGACCATGACTAACCACCGTAGATGTGCTCCCTGGTATAACTTGATCAGCGTCGTGGGTCGCGTCACGTTGTACAATTATAATAAACCCGTTGTCCCTAAAGTCCTTTGCAGCATCACGAGCGCTGAAAAACTGCCGCGTAGCCCATGTAATCATGAGCTCTGGGGCGATCAACGCTATGACCATGATAAATAGACGACGAGAAGTAATGGCAATTTTGCCCTCGTCCATACCCGGGATATTCGGATGGACGGCAGTCCATGTGCAGGCAAACAAAGTTAAGCCACAGCTCAAGATAATGTCCCACAAGGATCTGGTGTTGCAGGACGGACAGTTGCTAGCATCGAGTATATGGGGACTGGTGTTGTTGAGACTGGAGAGTGAAGCGTAAACGAACGGAACGCATAAGAGAACGAGAACTGTGCTTGGAAGGAGGGTCATCATGATGGTGAAGTTGAGGACATGGCGTCTGTCCTACTCTCTCAGGCTTTAAGTCACTGATGCTGTACCGCATTGACACCAATGGCAGTGAAATACAGGACTGCACTGCCCGGTGCTAAGCGCTCCCCACGGGCGATTCATGAAGCAGTGGCTAATGCCGCACCCGGACCGTAGTTGGGACGATCAAATACGATTGTAGGGAAAATAAGCCTTAGACTACATGATAGATGAACGAAAACAGTCACTCCTATAAGTTTATATTTATAGAAGAAATAAACTGTCTTCCCTCTATTGATCTGCCTAAGGGAGAGCATCATGAGCCCTTGAAGTCATTGCAGATTGTCTCACCTCAATTTCTTCCTCGCTTGCTCTTGTTCGTCTCAAATATTTTTGCATCCCCATGTGGTAGGTCTCCTCGCCCTCCGCTCGTTCGACTTTAAATCTCGACTTTATGTCGTGATCACTTTCGCCAACACCATGATTCTCGCCAAAAAAAGTGCATGTAATGTTCGATACCTTGGCACGATCTTAGGCAAGTTCAGTATCTTCAGTGGTTGTAAGACCAGCGACTGGCAGTTCTGCACGCGGTCAAGGACCTGGGGGAAGAGCCATTAATGAATATGGTGAAGGCGGGGAGGATGATAAATTGTGCTCTCAACATAGTTGAGGGCGGAATGCACCGTAATCACCTAGGACGCACTTGCAAACTCCTCGATGAAAAATTGTGACTTGCGCCCGGAGTTGAAAGTATCTATGGGCACGAAAGAGTGTCTTCTACCTGCTCGCATGCGGCGATCAGCGCGAACCAGACAGAGGGTGTAGCGCGCGGAGAAAGTAACGATCATGATACTCTGGATGACGAGGACAACTGAGAAATAAAACATTTTGTGAAAAGGCAGCCGAATCTAGCGTCAACAAGTTCAGAGACATTCAGGGTGATCAGGTAGTAGAACAAGACTCACTGGAAGCCTTGTATTCGTTGGGAGAGAAGGGTGCATTGCAAGATGTTTCGTTGCAAGCAGTGGGCCTAGTGCGACAGCTTTCTCGTGAATCCAGCGCACACGATGCCTACAGGTGAAAATTAAAGATAAGGCAGTGATCAACTATTCTTGTGCGGTCTGGTCCATGTGATTGCTGTGGGGAGCTGAAAACTTTGCCTCGAAGAGCTATGATAATGTTGCCAACTTCAAGTTGCACAAAGTTACAATATGAAATTTGTGAGAAGCAAATAGAGATTCAGTAATAAGTGTTTCATTGAGCGGCAGACTCGCAAGCCGTGACTGGTTGTCAAAGGAGCTCGCTATGTTTACTAGACCAGAAATGTTCGTGTGTGAAAAGACCAAGCAGCATGGTGGTCAGAATAGTAGTATGATCGATCGAGATGCGAGCACAGCAAAGGTCTACGTCTAGAACCGAAAGCGAGCGCGAAGTTGAAAATCAGAAAAGAACAGTATAAGTATTATGTAACTGTATCGTACTCGACAAATATCTCTACAAATCAATTTACAGGAACGAGATCATCGCAACCAAGAACTACAAGAATCGAATTGATTAACTGCGAGGGACACTTCTTGCGGCAGTGCTGCCAGCGTGTCCCATGTGCCATGCAACTTAAGTCAAGCTCAACACCGCCTCTGGGTATCACTAATACAGTCCAAGGATTATAGAATAGTTTTCGGGAAGCGGGTGGTACCCAGAACAAGAGACGACGATTCGGTCCCATTGCCCATCCATCTTCACCTAGCACAAACACAAATGTGTGGTTGTCATAGGAGGTGCCCGCAAGTAGCTCAGCAGTGTCGCGCAGTGCATGTGTCGTTGGGTTTGATGAGAAGGAAATGAAATCGTCGTTCGCAGTTTTGGGTGTGAGGACCGGTGTGAGATGTGGGATGCAACTGCAGTGTGAGGATGATGGTGAATAGTCTTCTTCGGTATGGTCTCCCATCCAAAGAGAATGAGACTGAGTTGACCCAATGAGTGTGCTCCACTAAGGGCTTACCCACTGGCTTCCCTGTTGCTGGATCCCACAGCCGGACAGTATGATCATGTGAACCTGTCACAATGCGACCTCCGTCCTGCGAGAACGAAACTGACTTCACCCGATCAGTGTGCCCCTCCATGGGCTCACCGACAGGCTTCCCTGTCGCTACATCACACAGCCGGACAGTCTTATCTTCCGAACCAGAAACGATGCGACTCCCATCCAGAGAAAACGAGACTGACATGATCCAACCAGTGTGCCCCAGCAAAGGCTCACCGACAGGCTTCCCCGTTTCTGCATCCCACAGCCGGACAGTTCGATCGTGCGAACCAGAAACGATGCGTGTCCCATCCGAAGAGAACGAGACTGGATTGACCGAACCAGTGTGCCCTTTCAAGGGTTCATCAACTGGCTGCCGCGTTACTGCATCCCATAGCCGGAGAGTCTCATCGTATGAACCTGAAACGATACGAGTTCCGTTCGGCGAGAACGCGACCAAGTTCACCGACTCAGTATGCCCCAATAAGGGCTCACCAATGGCCTGCCACGTTGCTACATCCCACAACTGGACAGTCTTATCATACGAGCCAGACACGATGCGCGTCCCATCCCGCGAGAATGAAACTGAGGTAACTGACGCAGTGTGCCCCAGCAAGGGCTCGCCTACTGGCTGCCCCGTTGCTGCATCCCACAACCACACAGTGCGATCATACGATCCAGTTGCAATGCGAGTCCCATCCGGCGAGAACGAGACTGAGTTTACCCAATCAGTGTGTCCTCTGATCACAGTCTGAACAGTTGTCCAGTTGATATCACGTCCAGACGCTACACGAAGAGAGTTTGGAAACCGTGCAGAAAACGTTTTGGATAGTGCAGAGTTGAAAGGAGAGAATGGAAGTGCTGATACATAGAGATGAGATGTGCTGTGCAGGATGATGCAGGCGAAGAGTTGAATGAATCTCTGCACGTCCATTGCAGCGGACGAGGCATCTTCGTATCCGGTGTGACCCTGTGATATTGCGATTGCGCGTTGGTGGGCATGTGATCTGATGCTCAATAACCATATGCTCACCTTCAACCACTTGGCAATATGTGGAAGGACAGGGACTGCGCCGCTGAGCGCATTGATAAGGCCGAGTACCTCGAGCCAGAAGAACAGTCGTTCGTGGTCAAAGAATGATTTTATTCTGTGGCGAGTTCTGAATCGAACTTAGCGGCTTGTACGTGTGAAAGCCAAAATCGACAGGCATGGGATAGATGTGGGGGGATGCGCTTCTCAACTCGTTCTCGCAGACCAGGATCTTCAGAGTTGGGAAGATAGGATGATTTTAAATCGCAGATATTGAAGGAGAGTCCATCTTTCATCACTCCAAGTGAGGCGAAAGCAAGATTACGTTGAACATTCGGCACATCGATGAAGAAATCTCCAGCGTGTGATTGATCTGTCAGGAAATCGTGAAAGGATGCACGAAGAGGTCGGATTGGGGTGGATGAGTTGGTGGTGCCGCTAAGGAGGGATCCCATATGTTCCACTATGACCTCCACTTTGTAATGCTCGCTTTCATCTCGAAAATGGCTTCGCATGGCATTCAGGGAATTCAAAGGAAGGGTTTCGGCTGTGCCAAGGATTTGTCCCATCACGGAACGAAACACTGCTAGCTGTGTTTGCTGAGACCTGAGGCTTGCGTGTCTATCCTTTGGCGTGATCTGGGTGAGAATGAAGTCATACATATCATACAACAGGTGCTCCCGTTCGACAGGATCGTGCGATACTATGACATTGAAGAACCGAACAGAAGATGAGCCGGGAGGAGGTGCTTCGATCTATTTACAAGCAAGACGTGCCCACTCAGAAAGATTATCAGCTTTCTTGGCCAGGGCTGTGAAATCCTTGCTCCCAAAATCTGGAAGCCCTTCTAATTTCTGATACGTAGGTGCAGATATCGCATTCTGCCACTTCTAATGGAATGTTGTCCATAGAAATCTCTCAAATGTGTTGAGCGCCTGCAAACGAATTCTGAATGTCGCGTAGCGGGCGGGAGGTGACTAAGATCCGGAAGTTTTTTGGCAGTTTCGTGATAAGATTGATGGTTGGGTCTCGAAGTTTACCGGAAAGAATGCGAAGAATGTCGCTGTGTGTCTCCACTGCCTCGCCACTTTCGTCCAGTGCGTCGATAACAGTCACGACGGGTCCCACTGGTGACCCAGAAAGCTTCCCTAACGGTTCTATGACAAGCTTCTGCCACTGCTGTATGACGTCCGGTGTAGTCTTGAGCGCAGTCTGGTTCTTGACTGCATGCGCTAATGCTCGTCTCATCTCCGGATGACGGTCAGCCAGGTCTCGCGCGATAGTGATGAAAACCTTTTTGTGACGATCCTCCGTGTTTCGGTCGAAGCAGTAACAAGAACCGAGTCCGCCCACCCCGATGAACGAGTTGGCGATCGTGTGAGCAATGGATGATTTACCCGTTCCGGCAGGTCCGGATAGCCATAGCACGCGTGGAACATCGTCTCTGTTGTCATTGATCCACCCCATGATGTCGGAGAGGATGTCAATGCGCGTCTCTTGCAGGCATCGCTTCCTAGTATCCAGTCCTGCGGCCTCCGCATAAGCCATACCACTGAATTCCAGTATTTCGCCTGTAGAAGGATGAATAGATGGCGAGTCAGAAGCAAATACAATACTTACTTGTATCGTGAATGTAGGTGGCTACGTCGCAAGTGACTTGGTCGCGGAAGTTTTGCATGAGCGCATCCAACACATCGCTATACTGTTGTATTGTATCGTTTGTTTCCGAGATGATGTTCTTTCCGAGTCTCCCCCCTATGATAAAAATGAAAATCTGCCAAGTGTAACAACTTGTTGGTGACTCACAAAAGCTTTTCTTTTCTGAATAATCCCTGATGAAATTGGCGCATTCTAGGGTCTGCCGAGAGATCTGTCCCAAGACGTCCTTCATTGACGAAATCTTGAGAAGCGTGTCGTCTTGCATTATGAAGCCATACACTTGACCCAACTTCTTGTAGAGCTCAAGTACCGCTTCGTCACGATCCGCCTGAGTAAGAATTATCTGCGTGCAGAATAGGTGAGCAGGAAATACAAATAACGGCAAGACAAACGTACTTTTGATGCGCAAGAAAGCACGCCCAATGCCATCTTTGCATACGGATGCACCTGCAGAATGGTGTTAGTCTAGTTCTAAATAGGAAGAGAGAGAACATACCTCTGCTATCGTCCCGATCACAGTGTCGAATGTCCTGAGAGGTTGAAGATAAGTGGTCTCTATACTGTCTGCGTCATCGAGTGCTGCTGATCCATTTTTGCCTGGGGACAAGACGGGTCTCGCACGTCCCTAAAGTGATTTCATCTGATCTGCACTATGACCGGCATCCTGAAATGCCTTGTTCACAGATTGAGGATTGGCGCCTTGTTGCACAACAGCAGAAGTATCCTGAGCCCGGTGTAGCCAGTGGAAGTTAGACAGAGAGCAGACGTCGGAATGTCACCTACCTGAACGGGGTCGCGGCTGCGCAAATTCTTCGAGCGCTTGTGTATGATCTCAGTCTGATCCAAATACAACTCGGTTGCTCTACTTACAGGAACCTTCTTCGTTACACCATCCTTGACCTTGCTCAGAAACCGATGAACTTTGTTTGGCGGTTGGACCTGGACAAATGGGGCATCACAGTCAGTGTTTGAAAGTGTGATGGGAAGTGATGCACATGAGCGACATACCGAACTTCCGCGAGCAACTGCTGTGGTGTCTGGAGGAACTGGGCTTGAGTCCATTAATTGACTGATGTTGCTCATGGCGAATAGTTAAAGATCACTGTGGGCGAAGTAGGCGTTGAACGAGAAGAGTAGGTAGCAACGTCGTTTAAATATGATGTCAGGCCTTGACCGCAAGCCTGAAGGCAATGCTTATTTGCTACTGTGTTGACTAGCGTTAAGCATTGGGCAGGCTTGGAGCAGGCGCTATGTAACTACGCGAAATGCCAGGAAGTTGAAACGTTGAAGGAACGACCGTATCTTCATTCATTTACCGTTTGTCTAGCTATTGACGATGGAGGTCCTAGTGATTTAGTTATAGTGAGAACGTTCGCGCTTTTGACAAATCTGTGTTCGACGTCAGAGTTGCCCGGAAACAGCAATGTTCGATCGATCATCTAAATTACATAATGACCTGTCCAGGACGTCTCGGAAGTTCCCTGGTTTCAGTGTTTTCTGTTTTGAATATCACAAGTGCATTCTACGTGCATGAGTATTTGTGTCTTTAGAATTTCTCCCAGTCTAACAGATGGTTATCATTGCGCGAGAACGTTCCATGTACTTCTGCTGCCGCATCTCAAAGTCTTACAAACGCCGTCACGGTAACGACCGGTGTCCGGCAACGCCCGCCCGCAATCAATTAATTCTTCTGGTTCCAACTTGAACTTTGTTCCAACTGTGCGCATCTTGATGCACGTAGGCATGAGGCTGTCCATGTATGCATGCGGATTTAGATGTGAGTGCCGATCCCAAATATTCCAGTACAATGTTCGACGAAGATTTACTAATTATTTTGCATAGAGACCCGTTGCCTTTCATCGTATCAATAACATGTAGCTACCTCAGCAGGTTTCGTGAACAATGAACATGCTTCATTTCTGCAACGATCCATTATGTGAATACCTTCTCCTTAGCGATGGGCGATATCTTGATCCTAAACGAAGGGCTTTTGTGCGCAAGGTACGCCAAATGTACCCTTGACCTTGTCTTAGGGATGCCGATAGATGCATATATAACGCAGCTTCAACACTTCCAAATTATCACAAGCTCACAGAACGTAACATAACCAACCTCCACTGCAGGCCTTTGGCTGACCTTCCTTCTCCTCCGACAGATGCTCGAAGAAATCACATATAGCGAGAACTCAGTTCTTATACAAAGTTCCAAATCACAAGACACCGATGGACACTCACGCGAGGATATGCCACCCCAATGGCAGCCCCCACCGAGTCCAATAGCGAGGCGCTTGTTCATTATCCTTTGCTATATTTTTGTGGCAGACTCGAACCTTGAAAGTTTTTGGAAGAGAATCAGTAGAGACTCCTCGAAGGGCTGGAAAGACTATCATGCCGAATATTTTGACTTCCTTAACCGCATAAGCACCGTGGTAAGTGGCACTATACGGTCATCGGGTTGACCAAATTCTAAATGACTTACCAGCAAGGACTGCTGCTCACAACGATAGCTGTCTTCATCTCAACTGCAGCCCCGTTATCTATCCTAAATTATGCTGCAGACATTCCATACGCATGTTTGTCTGAGTCACTCGTCTTCGCTTTGTTCGGGCTGTTCCTGCAGTTGTTTGTCTCTGCCTACTTGGGACCACGCTATAAACGCGCGAAAACATTGGACGTGAGTCCCTGTTAAAACTACATATTCCCAGTGAATGTACCTATGAAACTTAGGAACTCAAAGAGAAACGCTGGATGATCTTTTGTCACCTCTTCAATTTAGCTCTCCCAGCTCTTTTCTTTAATGCTTCTTTAGGTTGGCTCTTAGCGGGTGCGATTTTGACTGTTCGCTCGAACGATGGCACTGATACCTTCATGTTTTCAGCGATCGTGATCACCGGGTGCATGTCACAATCACTCCTCACTCGTATTCTCACAATCATCACCGTCGTTGCTCTGGTCTTGCTGGAATTTCTGTCCTTCGTGATTCTACCTCCATTTCGAAAATTTTGGGCCGTCTCGTTGTGGGGTGTTCACCATGACAGACATTGAGGATACGGGACGGTTCTATCACTTTATTCAGCCTCTTTACGATATGCGCGCTTATCTCTGTCTTTGACAGTTGTACTACGACCTCCAAATGTACATGGTATTAGCATGCCTTCCCGATGTATATTTCTTATATCCCATTCACTCATGTATATCTGTTATAATCTTGATCAGATTCACGTTTTCGGTTCAGTTTTGCGCATGACTTTCGTTCTTGTCCAGGAAAATGGCGCTAACGCTTCCACAAACTCCCAGCTGACGACAGGTCACCCCACAGACCAGCTAGAACGGTTGGGAATGCTGTGTCAGCTGAGGATAAGAGCACGCAGATTCAAACGGGACACATGGGCAATATGAGCATGCTGTCAACACAACAGTCGCGAAGGGTAAAGTTCTCTCCGTATCGAGCAGCTTCTGTCAACGATGATTGGTATGAGTGGGTGGTTGGAGTAATCCTGGCTGGTATGCTGTTGTCCATTTTGCTCGTATGAACTGGGCATTTCATGTTTGCATCGAACCATTTCTGACTTGGGTGGTATCTGCGAAGCACTGACACAAGTCTGGGCATACCCTGCACGATTCCAGTCTCCAGAATGAGGTTACTTATTATCGAAACATTTCTCCACTCGCCAGTTCGGGAGGGCCATTAAGTGCGTGGCGACGACCTAGCCATCTTCTAACCATTGTTACGTTCAAGTTTGCACGTGTTCATTACTTACAGGCTCATGCTCATCAAACCCGCCATTAGAGATCATATAGTGTTGCTAATGTTATGTGTAAGTCAAATGGCAGCCTGTTGTCGGGTTCGAATTTGCCTGAGTCACAAGTCCTCACATTTTAGATTTATGACGATGATCCCAGACTCGGAAGAACATGCAGGTTATCATATTTGATTACGGCGATGCAATGAAACTGCTAATGTGGAATATACTCGATCCAGATCACTGTATCGCGTGTACCAGGAGGCATATTACCTCGGCCTAACCTCGGTCCTCAGCACGTTTCATGAATTCGAACACGCTTCAATTCATTATGTAAGTAATATCATTTTCCTCGGCACCGTGACCAAGGTACAGTACTAGATGCTACCCTTGGCATTAAGTAGTGCACATGTTGGGCATGCTGGTGGATGTATATATATAACGCAGCCTCGGCCCTCGAGGCCTCAACGTTCAACACTTTCCTGCAGGCTTGTAGAGCGTACCATAACCAACCTCCACCACAGGCTTTTACTAAGGCTTTTACTGATCTTCTCCTCCGATAGATGTCCAGAGAAATCACACACAGCGAGAACTCGCGTCTTACGCAATGTTCCAAGTCACAAGAACCCGAAAAACAGCCAGATCCCATTACTAGTATGCCAACTGAATGGGAGCCCCCATTGGCGCCAATACCAAGGCGCTGTTTCATCATCCTATGCTATATTTTCGTGGCAGACTCGAACCTTGAAAGTTTTTGGAAGAGAATCAGTAGAGACTCCTCGAAGGGCTGGGAGGACTATCATGCCGAATATTTTGACTTCCTTAACCGCATAAGCACCGTGGTACGTGCCACAGTCGTCGAGTTGACCGAATTCTAAATGCCTTACCAGCAAGGGCTGCTGCTCACAACGTCAGCTGTCTTCATCTCAACCGCCGCCCCGTTATCTATCCTAAATTATGCTGCGGACATTCCATACGCATGTTTGTCTGAGTCGCTCGTCTTCGCTTTGTTCGGGCTGTTCCTGCAGTTGTTTGTCTCTGCCTACTTGGGACCACGATATAAACGCACGAAAACATTGGACGTGAGTAACCCCTTGTTGAAATACACATTCCCAGTAAATGAAACATAGGAACTCAAAGAGAGACGCTGGATGATCTTTTGTCACCTCTTCAATTTAGCTCTCCCAGCTCTGCTCTTCAATACTTCGTTGGGCTGGCTCTTAGCGGGTGCGCATTTGACTGTTCACTTGAATAATGATGGCACTAATACTTTTATGTTTTCAGCTATTGTCATCACCGGGTGCACGTCACAATCACTCCTAACTCGTATTCTCACGATCACCACCGTTGCTGCTCTGGTCTTGGTGGAATTTCTATCCTTCGTGGTTTTGCCTCCATTCAGAAAATTCTGGGCAGTTGCATGGTGGGGTGTTCACTCTCATAGATCTGGACATCAAGGATAGGACGTTTCTATCGCTTCGCTTATTTCTGTCCTTGAGAGTTTCATTACAGCCACGTGTTAGGTATTAGCATGCCTTTCCGCTGCATATCTCTTCCATCCCCTTCACTCGTGTATATCCATTGTAATCTCGATCAGATCTATGTTTTCGGTTCAATTTAGTGCGTGACTTTCGTTATGCAGGAAAATGGCGCTGGCGCTTCCACAAACATCCCAACTGACGATAGGTTCTCTCACTTTGACTTTTTATGTGGCGTTCAGGGCTCACTCGGACGGTACGTGTCAATTACATATATGCGCGTTTTTCTAGTACTTACAGAGTCTCACACGAACATTTCCCAACTCCACAAGGTATTCGAGATGTGAGTATAGTTTGTCCCCTCTGAAAAACTTCCTGTCTCTTCAGAGATGCTTTGGGTAGAATCGCCATGCAGCAGTGCTGTGCAGTCACATCTGCCGTTACTCCTTGGATTGTTAGCGCTCATGCGGCGGAGGTAAGTTACACGTGTATTCAAATTTCTGTGCTATGACTGAAATAAGTGGCATTGTGCCATCAGGTCGCAGGCGTAAATTGCGATCAACATGAGGCAGCATCAACTCTTTCTGTTGCCTTCATTTTCCCGCAATCGTTCCACACTCAGAGAAGTTGGTGTTTAGGCAGAACTTCGTATAACCTCCCGATAGTATTAATCTAACAACAATAATCGCTTGTTTTGACAGCCTCTTGAACTCAAGCTTAGTGGACGACGAGCAAAACTAGGCACGGTCATTTTTATACAAGTTTAAACATCCACTTTGTCCAGAAACAACTGTACTGATTGACTCCGAACTATGTATTGCACCATCAACAATGATACCAAAGCGAAAGTAGAAACATGACTCACTATCGCTCGGGTCACTGGCTCATATTTGAACCTACATGCAGTCCTTGCCTCCATTCTAAGGCGCACAGGTCAATCATGTGCTTGAATTCTGGTTGCACAGCGACCTGTACACACTCACGTAATTATCTTCGCAAATCATGAAATCGCAGCAATCATCAGTGACTTTGCAAGTTGTTGAACTACATGTACTGGCAACAACAGACATAGATGTTGTCAAAGTAACAATGGCGAGGAAGAAGATACGCATTTTCTGTGCGAGGTGATATGGAATCTTCTGAAGGCGATCTCGAATAATATCTCTGAGGATAGTGGAACACCATGGGACAACGGCCACCTTTTATATCCTGCGTATGCTGGGCATGATTCTGATTGATTCGGCAGAAACGTTATGGCTGTAAGATGGCGGAAATTTAGGTAGAACCTGCAATAGCGTGTTCAATTGATTACGACCCTTCTATCATAACCTGCCATTACTGGGACTGAACACATTTGAAATACTCGGCAGAATTTGTGCAAACCTTCGACAAGACAGCATCATAAAAACCGTAGAGGCTGGGGAGTCCACCTGCCATAGACATGCTCACATGCATACTCGTGAAGAGTTCGACATTATTGTTGAGACTGCACAGAATCTTGAAGCATCCTTCACGTGCACACCTCCGCTCTCAACCAAGATTCGTGCTGTAAATGACTCAGACCCAGATAATGGACTGGAGGAAGAGAGATCTACAAGTTCGGTCATATATGGTTCGTATCACACACGTTCTTCCACATTCGCATCGGCATTTAAGCTTTTACAGTGTGATACACTCGGTGCGATAAATATTACACTGATAGCATGCTAAACTTTGTTATTGAACTTGGTGTACAAAGGATCTTGTTGCGACAATTTGGTGCATGTAGAATTCAGTGCAATGATCCAAACTTGGTGCAAGACGACTTTTTTGACACAGAAGGCTGAGTTGGCTTTCCATAGTGCTGGAACCATGACTTACTAATGCAAAAGTGGACACCTCGCTCACTAGCTTGAGCAGACCTTGTTACCCGCGAGCTGATATTACAAGGCGAGTCATTAGGTGAAATTCGATGCAAAGCAAACTACTCCTACTCACAAGTGTCACGCAGTTCAAGCTTCCACAGCAGTCACCTTTGACTTTGCAACTCTGTAACGCCTTTTGACATGAACTGCCAGACACAGACATGATAGATGCCGCCAAAGCAACAATAGCGGCGAGGAAAGAGAAACGCATTGTATGTGTGAGGTGGTATGAACTGCTCGAATAGTCTTCTTGAGATAGGGTGGACGATAGGAAGATGACTTGCTTTTGTACTGTCGCTACAGCCGAAGCTCAGTACTGTGGACTTGGTAGAACGGGTTGTTTGCCTTGCGTGTGATCCTGGGCAGAGTATGTTTAGGCAAAACCTATCCCCTCCATTTATTGCATAATCGCTGAGTCGATGACTCCTGATCCGAACTTTCCTGCTGCCAAGGTTGCTTGTCCAATGCTACCGAGGAGACTTCCTCTACTATCCAGTCGCTTCCAGCTTGAACGTATTCCCTGCATTTTTTCAAAAAAATCAAGTTTATTGTCCGTTGGGGTCGAGAACCCTATGATGGACATAACCCCATTCGCAGGGGGCTTACTCCCGCCTTCCCTGCATTCACTTGGCTATATGACGGTTTTAGTTGGTCGAACCCGAGCTCTGGCGCAGTTTCTTGGGGAGCGGTTGTGATGACACACTTTGCTTCAGCATTCCTCAGGCTTACCACAGCTTCGAGGACAAACGAAATAGGTGAGTGAAACCGCTCTATCGATGCGAAAGTAGTCGTAATGTGTCGATGGCGACCGCGTTTTGATATTATTGGACTATTTATCGTTATTTTAGCACAGTGCGTACACACCCAGTCTTTAGTCTCCATTAGAATACTCGTAGGCTTGACTTTGGCAGTGAACAGGATGGAGATGTGGATGAAGGAGATAGGGCGGAAAAACTCGAGGCCCTCAGGCTCGTCAGGCTAGCTGTGGATACCGATGAAGTTTCTGGTGGAACTGAAAGACAAAAGGATGAGCTTTTCCAATCAACGTTTGCCGTAATTGCTCTGGATACTGATGTTGAACAACAACGGCTTTAAGTCCTTTCACATACCTATAGTTGATATGGCGACAGGCATCGGTTCACTGAGGACAAGGATGCACTACACCGAGCCTGATCTACGTGCGCGTAAATTTGAGAGCTGGTTGAACTTGAAGATCCCGGCCATCCGTGTGTTGCGTGACGAGTTAAGTAAACCATCTGGAATGGGCTGCTTGCCAATGCAATCTCGTGATCTCGCTGGTCTGCTCAAGATTCGGATGGACCATGGAACAGGGCGTGCAAAGAAGGGAATTTAAACTGGATGTAATCAACTTACTCCTACAGAGTCAATTTCGGACCGCCGTCGCCTTATTGGAGTTTCAGGCTGTCCTCGACATATAGGACAGCCAGAAACTCCCAGAACAGCAAAACCATGCAATTGGATCGTGCCTTGAACGTGCCACTCGCTGGACAGGAAGCGCTGGACAACTCCCGGAGACAGGAGACGTGAAAAAGAGTAAAGGCCAGTTTGCCGATGTAGAGTCTAGACGTTGTGCGCTGACTGACTCTGTTTGCAACTCTTGGAGAAAATCCAACTCAGCTTTACATAAGCAAAACACCTTAATGCACAGCCACATGAAGTTACGAGCGATACAAGTTTCTCAGCCTCAAATCATCATGAAACCTTTTGTCGAGCGAGTACTGAAAAGAATGTGTTTTTCACCAAAGCAAAACCAGATCAGCCAGATATGGGAGTAATACTGGCACTCAGCACCTCCGCCAATTATATAAGTGCAGTGTGCACTACTGAAGTGATAAGCGTTTATGTGTCTGTAACTTCGTGCGTTAAGGTAGGCGTTCATTTTAGTGGTGTTGTAGATGCGCATTCACTTGACATGTCTACTTGAGCTCGATATTGCCTCTATCCATTTCTCGATCAGCAGCATCCAACTACTACACCTTACTACTTATCTATACCGATGCGAAAGTGGACACTCGACTCACTAGGTTGAGCAGACTCTGTTAGGGCCCCCGCCCTGATATTACTAGGCGCAAAAGGTAAGTCATTTGGTGAAAACTTGATGTAAAGTAAACTATTTCTACTCACAACTGTCGAGCAGGCCAACCCCGTACAGCAGTCATTTATTGTTGTGCAACTCTCGAGCGCACCTTGACATGCGCTGACAGACAAGATAGATGCCGCCAAAACATCAATAACTGTGAGGAAGGAGAGACGCATTGTTTGTCTCTGGTAGTGTGAACTACTGACGTGCTCGAATAGTCTCTTTGAACTGGAGTGGACGGTAGAAAGATGACTTGCTTTTATATTGTCGCTACAGTTGATGCACAGTATTGTAGACTTGGTAGAACGGGTTGTTTGCCTTGCGTGTGATCCTGGGCGGCGGGCGTTTATGCGGAACCTATTCCTTACATATTCCGAATTACACTCGCTGAGTTGGTCCTGATCTGAACCTCCACTCATTTACTTGTACAGATGGACAAACAAAGGTGGGCACCTAGGTCATGCTGTCGGTTACACTGCATCTCCTATTCAGCCCTTCGGCTTGAGGGCTCATCTCGCGATGGGGGCGGTCTTCAAGTATGTTGACTATTTGGTGAGTCGATCTGTCTGCACGACCGGAGTTTAGGCAGAACCTATGACATTCGGTCATAGAAGAACAGATGCACGCACATGCGAACAGAAACGCGCTCCTGCTGCGAAGGTTTGATGCTACTGATGAGACGGCTTCCTTTACTGTCCAGTCGCTTCGGGCCTGAACGTATTCCCTGCATTCACTTAGCCGTGTGACGGTTTTCAGGTGTGTTGGTAACCCGGTTAGTTCAAGAACTTGACCTCTGGTACAGTTTCTCAGGAGACGGTTGTGATGTGATGTTTCGTTTTGGCATTCCCGAGACTTCCGGGGGCAAACGAAACAGGTGAGTCTGGTCTGTGAATGTCACAAAAAAAACGTGCCGTGCGGACTTCCAATGGCAACCGCGGTTTGATATTATTGGATTATCTATGGTTCTTGTAGTGGTGCGAGTACACTGAATCCCTAGTCCGTACTCGTAGTTGAAGTTTCGTGGCGGCGGTGTCGCTGCTCTCCTATGAATCCCGAATATCAATATTAGCATCAAGCCTGAGTGTAAGGAAATCTTTGGCCCTTGCGGTGAATGAACAAGGAAGAAGGTACGCCACCGGCAACGCCCGAAAGCTTGATGGTTCCATACGCTGCCCTTCTGACCTGCTTTTACCCATGTTCATACTGGATCGACGCGTCTTTCTTATACGGTTCACTATATCGATGTCTGCCCGATTTGCAGTTAGGATTTCTATATGGCTGGGTTGAGCTCTTCGCTTCTGTCTGATGATTGTCGAATGGAACGCATGTTGTGGGGTTCGCATTATCCTGAATATTTAATATGTCCTCAATTCGTAGCACGATTTGGTCGGACAGGGCATATTTATCATTTTTTAGATCTCCAGACTCGGACATATGGGTCCTGTACAGTTTGACGTGCGGCGAAGTATCATCTGGATTTCTTTTTCTTTTCCTTTAGGTTCTCTACTTTGCACTCTTTCTCCCTGTGCACAACCGCTGACCCTGGTTTGATCCGCCGATGTCACCAAACCCGACTTTTGCAACGCTACGGGCGCTGCATGCACTCATGGGCGATGCGCTCGACGATATACATCGCATTTTTTCAGATTCTTCCACTCCCCATTCCTCTCAATGCTCGTCACCAGCGTTTCCAGATTCTCCAGAGCCAGTGTCAGTGCCCGCTACGCCCTTGTCTTCTACCTTTAGCACCCAGACCTCTTCCTATGGGACCCCACTCTCACCGTTGTCCAACCTTCAGTACGATTATCCTTCCCCATCTCTTCCGTATATATCATCATCACCGGCGGAGAAACTCGCTGCCTGTCCAGCGGCAACTGCTGCTGCCACAAGGATTATTTCTGCTGCTGGCCAAATTACGAGCATTGTACAAAAACCGTTTCTGTTCATGTCTGACGCGAGCATGGTGGTAAGTTTGTTTGTGTTTCGTTCTCCTTTCAATTCGACCACCTTTGTCGTTCATTCATCGTTTCTTGTGTCGTCATGTACCACGTCATTTCTGATACTTGCAACTTCCAGTACACCGTTCCAGCATGCCTGCGTCTTATCGAACATCTACACATCGTCGAAATCCTCCGCGATGCAGAGGACGAACGACAGCGGCTTCTTTTAGAACTTCGTATTATCGCGGAGCTCCAGTCCCAGAGCGAGCCCGTCATGGTTGACCAAGCTGCCTTGACTAACGGATCGAATGGCCCTAATCATAACTCTGTCAAGGGCCTTGCGTCACGTTCAAGCCTTACTCGGGGTATGTGCCTTATTTTCCTCCCTTGGTCGCGGGGTGTGCTGATCGCCGTCTTGTGAATCAATTTGGATTTTTCTATGCATCACTTGCCCCTGTGATTTCATATCCTTCTCCCGCGCCTGTCATGCTTGTCACGTGATAAAATTGTCCAGACGCACCGACAACGGCGGAGGAAAAGGCACTCCATCTGGAGGGTGTGCACGTCAAAGACATCTCACGCATCATCACCGAACGCATGGGCGGCCTTCGTTGCGTGGATTCCGTTCGCTTAGGTAGGTCTGTTCTCCAGTCGTTCGATGTTAAGTGTTGTCTGGCTATTCGGATATTCTGAGCTTCTGAACTCTTTGTTACTTCAAATTTGTGCCGTTCCTTCATTTTACTCGCTGGTCAAGCGAATCGGCTAACAACTCCTCGGCCTTAGCTCACCCCCTGCGCTTGCTTTCAACGCATCACATTCTACGTGAAACAGCTCCAGACACTTTCGCACTAACGCGTGTCGCAAGCCTGCTCGATAGCGGCAAGAGCGTGGCAGACGTCTTTGCAAAGTATGTTGCCGACTTCTATTCTGTTCCCTCGCCCGTGCCACAAATTTACATCCATCGATAGTCCCGAAAAAAAATATGAAGACACCTCTGGCATTGCTGCTTTCGTCGGATTATGGTGCGTTTTTCTTTTGTATATCTGGAAATGTAGGTTTCTAAAGCGAAGATGCGCAGCACTGATGAGCTGTTCAAGTCAGCTGCATACCTCACGGAGGCGTTTACAGGTGTTCAACTTCCTTTAGCTCCTCCAGGGAGCGCTCCCACAAGGTCTGCAGATGGTAATGAAGTGCATATATCCGCTCTCAGTACCCCAAATACACTGGACAATGCAAATATATCCGGCTTTCCGGCTGATAAGGCGCATATATGCAGCCCTCTAGTGCAACCCCAACCTTTACGCACCCAATCGTTCACTAGCCTCCATTCAGGGCATCTGACTACTACTTTGTCTACGCAGACACATCCCCATCTCTTAGAAGCTTCGACGCTCACACATGCGCTCAATACAGTGGCCGAATCAACCATGCCTCCTCGTTTATGGGATGCAACCATGCCTGCGCCCATCGCTGGACCACCTTTGGACCTCGGCTCCGGTATTCTGTCTCCCAAACGCGACACAACACCCCACACAGAAGCGTCGTCTATAAGAACAGCTTTCAAACTTCCCCCGCCAGCCCCGCACCCTTCACCGCTGCACAACACGATCTACAACAAAAGCGACGTTCCGAACACCCCTTCTGCGCTCCTTGTCAAATGCGCGTCTTTAGTGTCAACGCTTACGCTGGCATCTACGAATTCGGCTGTTGTATCCGAAGGGAGGCCACTGAGTAGTAATGTGGGCTTGGGTACTGAATCGGATAGAAGGAGCGCTGGGTCAGGACTTGATCCTGAGCCCCTTCCAGCGTTCAATCTCGCGTTCAACACGCCTGTTCCATTTTTCGAATGGTTAGAGGACGGTGGATTGGATGCACTGGGTAGGAACGGCGGTGGCGCAGGCTGTTTACCAGCAAGGGTTGTTGGGAATATCGTGTCGGCTGAAGATGAGGGTGCACAGCCTCACACCGGACATGTGAGGAATATAAGCACATCATCTGCACGCAGCGGTCGTGAACCGGGTAAGTCTTTCCGCCTTGAGCGCTTCTCGCAGGCGATGATTGGTACGAGTGGATGGGAGGCTCCTGGAGCTATTCTAACTGGTATGTCGCTGTTCATTTTACCTGTACGTTTGTGCAGTCGCGTAATTCTGACACTTGTGACTTCAGCTTTCGACTGGCTTTCCCTCCCACAAGGTTCGACTGATAGTAGACGTTGGAGGAGGAATTGGAAGCACGACGATGATTCTTGCACGGGCATTCGGAGGGAGCCCCAAACGGCGGGGAAGCGTGAGCAGCGACGAAGCTGAAGTTACCGTGGAAAACAACAGCTTCGTCCCTCAACGATCTTGCAACGACTTGACTCCGCACAAGTCCCGGAGTAATCTCAAGTGCTTTGCCTCACGAGGCGATCTCAGGTCACATACCTCTCGCGCCGATCTCAAGTCCACCAATCTCAAATCTGTACATTCTCATGCTGATTTGAGGATTCAGTCCTCTCAAGGCGAGTCCAGTGCGCGACAATCAACAGTTCCTTCTTGCGAGGACCAGGACATGCAGTTCCGCTTCATTGTCCAGGACCGTCCGGTCGTCATCGGACTCGGACTTGATGCATGGCGTGCGCAGTGTCCAGAGATGCTGGAGAGTGGACAGGTGATGTTCTATGGTGAGCACTCCGTCCAAATGCTTAACGTGCCTTTCTCACAATGCATCCGAAAGACCACGATTTCTTCCTCCCACAACCTCCGCTTCCCTCATCAGACTTCAACCAGCATCCCGCAGTCTACATACTCCGCGTTGTCTTACATGACTGGCCTGACGCCCGTGCACGTCATGTGCTGCTCAACTTGCGGCTTGCAAGCAGTCCAGAGACGAGGCTTATCATTGCGGATCATATCCTCCCATTAGCATGCGTTGACGAGGGCGTCCGTAGCGCAAAGCACGAACATCAGAAATCCGACGGCGGAAAGTGGACGCTCGACTCTGTTCTAGCGCACCTCGAGGGCGCACATGGCACTCTAGCGCCTGCGCCCCTGCTTCCGAACTTGGGTAAAGCCAGTGCAACCCCCTTTTCCATGGACATCGTGGTACGCTAGATCATATATTATTGTCTCTGCAAAGGTTTACTGACTGAACTGCGTAGATGCACATAACTTTCAACGGCAAGGAGCGCACGCTACGAGAGCTTTGTGCGCTAGCTCTGTCGTCTGGCTGGCGCATTGCACGCGTGACATACTCAAAAGGTTCCCATTTCGGGCATCTTGTTTGCGAGCCTGTAGACATACCTGAGGATGCATTCAATATCCTCCCTGGACGGCCGATCTCGGATCCTGCGATAGATTTATCATTTGAATGTGCTGAGCCCTCGGAAGACGACGAACATGAAGGCCCACAGACCGCCCAGGAGATATATGCAAATAAGCTGCCATCGTCGCTCGGGTCGAGGCCTATCTCGACGACCATCCTACCACTTTTGCCATCTCCTATCCTCGAGCGCTCGTCATCGCGTTGTGGAACTCCGACATTTGGATCTCGTGTGTTCCTCCCTCGTCTAGACGAGATCCCGTCTGGCAAGTCTAAGTCTTACAGCCTTGGTAGAAGATGGCTCAAGGCAAGAGGCCTTGGCGTACGTAGCGTGGTCGAGAAGCAAAAGCGACGTGAAGAAGGCTCTCGAAAAGCTGATGAACACGATGACCAAAGCGGTCAATACGGATCTCCACAGCACTCGCGCGTCTGGTGGAAAAGGGCGCCACCCACTTCTCCTGTAGCAGAAGAACGAGCTGGTGATGCATCGCCTCGCAGTCCACTTCGCCTTCGCAGAGGTACGATGACAACTCCAGAGCTTTCACCACCGTTGCCGTTGCAGAGCCCGCGCATTCCGACACAGTATAATTTCCCTGCGCATCGTACGACGCCTAGTGTGCAGTCCAACTTCCAAAGCGACGGAAGTTCAAGTGCCCCGCGATCGAGGAGGCCGAGTGTAGCGAGTCTCACTCGCAAGCTCAACTTCTCCCCTTTTGCGCGGAGACCGAGCATAGTAGACGGTGGAGCACAAAGGAACAGTGACACGAGCGCGAGTCCGCAGTCAACAACGCTTGATACTGCATATGTTCGGTCTGCAAACCAGGAGAAGAAGCTGAAACATCAGCCGAGTTCACCGATGATACAGAAACACCATCCTGGTGATGATCGCGAACACAGCATCAGACATCATCCTAGTGCACCTCACTTGAAGGGTCGGTCTACTCGCGCTGAAGAGCCTCCGCCCTTGCCTACGGCTCCAAAGATTGTACGGGATGATGCATCCTGCAGCGCTCCTCGCAAGTCCAATCTCATGAGCTCCCCGATCTTCAGTGGAAGCAAGTCTAGTCTGTCCACGACCACTTCACGTCAACGGAGTCGTTCGATTTTGTCAAGTATTCCTGCTTTGATACGCGCGCCCAGTACGCCTGCAGATCCTGCAAGTCCAAAGTCAAAACGTCAGCCGAGTACACCGAAACTTCCCCGGAGGCTCAGTATACCTATGCTCCGCCGCAAGCGCAGTCAAAGTCTGACTGCTGAGAGGGATACCTGAATCGGTGGTGGAGTGAGCCTGGTGACTTAACTTTTCGTTCATAGTTCTTTTCTTGCCATCTCGTCGAATGCTGTGTTTTGCACATATTACAGTGATTGCCACTCTTTGCGTAGACGACCTCGTTGCATCACAAGGCCCGATGTTTGATATCATGCTTATTACTGTTGTCTACTTCCCATGGAGTTAATAATTTTGAGATTTCACTGTGGGGTTTCGACCGATAATTGTATTATTAGATCGTGCTAAGCAGATTCGTGGTGACGTCCTCCATTGTAATAAGCAAGGTAATAAGCGAAGAAATTGCATGTTGGACTGCATATGTTTTCTTGAGAACAAATGAAAAGCTCTAGCATACAGACTAAGTACTCTATTCCATGATACATAAACGGAAGTCCCCCGTCCTTTGAGCCTTGCAATTGGGAAGTGCATAGATGTGTAAATTCAAGCGAGACAATTCGGTCAGTACTATTACTTGCAGGCGTAATCGAACGTTGTTCCACAACGACAAACCATATGATTACAGCCAGCGATCTTCTCTATCAAATGGGAGCATCCTGGGCATCTTGCCCAGCCTGATGCTTGAGCGATATCAAGCACTTGTTGCGTTGCTGCGTCAATAACGCAGTTGTGATTCCCAACCCCTTCGTACTTTGTACGGCATTTTCCACACGTACGGGTGGAACAACTTGGGGCTGGGCAATCGTACACTTTTCGTGACGACTTTTGGTGGAGCGCACCAAGAAAGCGATTGCAGGATGGCGATGAGCAATACACCCGATGCATCGTTTTCTTCTCTCGGCCTTTGAGCCGAAAGTCTGCAATTAAAGCTTGACTGACGTAGCGTCGTACTTTTGTGAAGGGTATGTTTCTGTGACAGCATCGTGGTGGATACAGGGAGTCGTCACGGACTGAGGACTGGAAGAGGTGGGTAATGCAAGCGAGGTCGAAGACGTGCCCGCATGGAACTGGGATTGCGGCGCCATCTATGGGATCTCTGCATATGATACAAATGGCCCTAACACCTGTTAGTTTACACAGTTTATCCTCGTTCGTCTCGGGTGGACTCACGGTTCCTTCGAGGCGGCATCGACCTTCTTGATCGATTGTCTTGGCATGTTATTTCAAGCCTACTCGGGTTTCCAAAGGATGTTTAGTAGCCAGAGGAGACTGTGGTCCCCCCCTTCGTATCGAAAAGGATCGACAAAGCTGTCACGGTAGGAGAAAGAGCAACGGAAAGGGATGCTCAGCGTTTTATGCCTCGTTGCCTCCGCATGCTCTCGATCACCCCTAAATGATCGCGAATAACGAAACAAAGATAAGGGATCAGGGTCTTAGCGCTCACTGCCAAAACACGTTGGAGTGCTTACGTGGCTGTGCTGTGATAATGTATGTCCCCAACCAGCCTTTCGACTCCATCCAGCCGCGCGCACCATGAGGACAAGGGGAATACACCACCAGTTCTGCCAGTTCAATCTAAAATTGGGCGGTGTGACATGGGTCAGCGTTCGCCGCGGGCTTTTTTTCCCGTCTGGCAGAAAAATCAACACCGCGAACATTCCCATGAACGTAGCCTTCTGCGTGGAACTCTGGGGTGAAATTGGTGATGGCTTTCTCCAGTGGTTAATGCTGACCTCTCGCTCAGCCTGGCGCCTTCGGGCGAGTACCATCATAATCTTCTTTTTCGAGTCCCACCGTTGACGACACCCCCGCGGAAACCAAATTGTACCTAAGGCGCCGAGTCTCATTTCAACTTCTGAGTGTGTATCTAATCGATATAATCCGTGGTTACGGATTCTTGGGTTGGACCGCGCACGAATAGAGACGAACTGCAAGGGAAACCCTAAGCTCAACCTTCAAGGTGGGATGCGGCAGCTCTATCTATCCGGGACCAACTACAATATGCGTTAGAACAGTTCGTCAGGTCTACTACTGCTAGCCAGGATTCCAACCTACTGTGCCAGTATGGTGGATGTTCGGTTACACTTCGACTTACCGCGAAGCCCTCAATACCCGATCAGTGTTTGGTTCAAGCTTTGTCATTTACTCAATTTATTTCATATATACCCACGCAAGTTCAATGTATCGTGAGTCATGGCCACTTAAAAACCTTCAACTGCGGGCAGGCCTTTTGACACTCAAATTATCAGACTTAGCCTCAAATCTTCCCGTGGTCAAGCGCGTGCGATCGACACCTTTGGGTCTGCTATCAAGCGTGTCTGACGATGGTTCCTGAAACAAGGCTCATACTCACAATGAGTTTACACTAATCGAACAGTTTTCAGGGCCTTGATACTGCGGTGCATGAACCTTCATTATCCTGATGGAATTCAGCGTCGGAAGAGTCGGCAACTTAAATGCAGCATTTTCTAGACTGGGTCTTCATGACGTCTGGGTTTTCGACCAGCGTGTCAAGTGGTGTTACTTTCAGTTATTCGTATCGAGTCTTTCTCGGAGGTGAATTCTGAGATCGGTGGGCTAACCATAATCCGCACTTGGTCTCTAGCTGGTATTGTGACACATTCCTAACGATAATATCAATGTTGCCTCGTCCTGTTCATCATCATCCTCGCCGTTGTAATTAACAACCTCAATCTGATCTAGAATCGTCATCCCTTGTCTGATCTGGCCAACATCGTCAAAAGAATTTCCCTCGGTCGTTTCAGCTTGTCATCACGAGGTGGAGGTGTCCATGCGAAGGATACTTCGAGATTCTGTGCAGTCTCCACATTTTTCACGAGTGTGCATATAAGCATGTCGACGGCAGGTAGACTTCCCTGTCTCTACCACTTTTACAGCGCTGTATTGTCGAAGGTTTGCACAAATTCTGCCGAGAGTTTCAGATGTGTTCAGTAACGGCAGGTCATGATGCAATGATCGTATATAATTTGTGACATCCAACACCAACAACGATTCTGCCAAATCGATCAGAATCGA